TTAAGTTCGCTTTCATTAGTTTTATTCAACTTTTTGGCAATTCTTCGTTTCATTTGGGTCTTCTTTTTATTTTTTTCATCTCCCGTGTCAGGTAGTTGGTTATAAGTAAAGCGAGCAATATAAGTAATGATATCTTTGGGTTCTTTTTGGAGAAGGGATTTTAAATCCACGAGGGTAGCATCCGACTTTTTGATTTCCTCAATAAACTCAGTTTTAACCTTACCATCTGTTCCTATCACTTTTTTAAGCAATTTTTCTACCTCGGCAATTTTACCATGTTTTTTTACTTGGCCTCATTTAGTTTTTCAACTTTCAGTTATTAGAGTTTCATCCAAAGCAGGGTCCAAAGTTTTGAGTCTGGATTGTCAATCAGTTAAATTTTCTTCAGCGTTATCTTTTTCATTGAGGGCTTTTTCAATTGCAGTTTTGGCTTCTAGTTCTCAATCGTTTAATTTGACCAACTTTTCTTTATTTTCAAAATGGGTTTTGAACTGGGCTAATCCTCCATAAAAAGAGATATCGTGTTCTTTACCATCCTTGTCCTTATATTTACCTGCCTTAATGCAGGCAATGGCTTTTTGAATATCCAATTTACTATCACCGCCAACAAAAGCAAAATTACAAAAGCGTTCTACTAATTTACAATCACCATCACAAGAATAAAGTTTAGTCGTGATATCCTCAACGGCAGTTAGAGCGGTATTTTCAGTATCTACTGTGCTTATGGCAGTAGCATCCCCCTCATTTTCTAAGTAGCGAATTTCTAAAAGTAGTTGGTTAATGTTAATCAATTCTACTATATCTCGTCTATTGTCCTCACTAGCAGTTTTAGCAAAGCCCTTGCTAATGTTGTGAGCAGTTAATTGCTCTCGTTTTTTACTCAAAATTTCCCTAATCAGGGTGTCAATTTGGATTTCCTTAACTTGGATTTCAACTTGTTTAGCATCTCTTTCTTGGGTTTTGTCTTCAATAGTCTTTTTAAGTTCCACCAATTTTACTGCGGCTCCCAGTTTTTCCATTTCTAGTTGGTCTTTGAGTTCTTGGATACTGGTTAGACTTTCGGGCAAAGTGTAATTAGTTCCGTCGGTTACTGAACCGTTATCGGTGGTTCAGGTTTTTAAATCTGATAGTAGTTGTTGGGTGGGAGAGTTGGTGAAGGCGACTTGGAGTTTGGTTTTGTTGTCATCTAAGTAAGTAAAACTATGGGCCAAATTTAGTCAGCCATTCAGACCGGAGTCGACTGCTAGGGTTTGTTTTTCTGAACCGGTTTTATAAAGAGTAGTTTTAGTTGGATCAATATTAATTCCGTAATCGGCCAATTCCTCTTTTTTTCAGGCTGAGCCTTTTTTATTTATTTGTCAACTTCCTCCGGTCGGAATATTTTTTTGCTTGTCAGCATCTAAATCTTTTAAAAATGGTTGATTATGAGTTAGTTCTATGAACTCAAAGAATTCTTGATAGTTAAAAGTGGGTGCTGAATAAGCAGTTCAAGTGTCGCTACTTTTATCAAATTTCTGATAAGTAGAGGCGAAGTCGTAAGTATTATTACCAATAATTATCTCTTGCTGTTGGAGGCGGGTTAGATAATCTTTTACCTTGGTTTGTTTGGCAGTATCGGTCTCCTTGGCATTATACTTAGCGGTGAAATCAGAATGGTCCACTTTTTTGAGGGCTTGGACTAGGTAAGCGATGGTGTTGAGAATTTGTTCTTCGGTGGTTTCTATCTCTGAATTGTTAACTTTGATTTTGTAAAGATTGTTCAGGGTGCCACTGGATGGGGTAAAATGATTAGTCGCATTGGCTAATCAGCCATTCGTGCGTCATTTAGTTCCACCTGTTCCGAGAAAATTTTTCATTCTCGGGTTGTGGGTGGTGGAGTTAGTAGTTAAGCGGGTTTCTTCTTTTTCTATTTCTCGCGAGTAGGAGGCGATATTTAAGAGTTGTTTTCTTTCATCAGCAGTCTTTCTGATTTGGTCTTGTTTTTCGGCTTGTTCATTATTTAAATCAGTATGTTCTTGCAATAATTTTTCTAATTGTTTTGATTTTTTGTCATCAGATTCTTGGTTATCTAAAATCAAACTCAATCTTTTTAATTCCGTATTATATTCTTGTGAGTATTTATTGTGTATCTTTGACATTTTCGTTTATTTATTTGCCAGTTGCCAAAGAAAAAAACCAATCACGATATAAACAAACGACACTGGCAAACTCTAACAACTGACTTTTTACTGAATTCCCTACTTCCGTTTTACCATCTTGGCGGAGCTTTAAACTCTTTGACCCTCTTGTTTAAGGGATAAGTACCTAGCCAGCACGGAAGAAGTAAAAGAACGTTATTTTTATTCTTAATAACCTGACTAGGCTCATTTGTGTCCATCAACCTGGACTAGTTGACAGTTGGTGAACCAACTTAGATGGGCGTTCTTCGTCATTGGTCGGAAGGATAATTTAATTGTCAATTATTTAAGTATTGATTGCGGGCTTGTTGGGGGTCGCAAGGGCAGGTACCACCTAGTTTGGTAATAATTTCATGTTTGGTGTCGTGGATGATGGGGTAAGTGTAAAAATTTTGGGCTTCCTCCATGTCGTATTCTTGGGCGTAAGTATCCAAATTATCGATAAATTGCCGCACGATAGGGGCTTGCTCCGGTAAAAAAGTGAAGTGGAGAACGGGTTTAGTTTGGAAGTGGGTGTAAATGGTGCCGCTACACTGTTGGTTTTCTTTTGGCACATGTTCTTGTTCTAGAGGAGTATGTAAAAATTCCGCTTTGTTGCACAGCAGGAGTAAACGGGTAATTAAGAATTCTTGGAAGTCATGAGAGAATTGCTGCGGAGGTTTTTTAAAAGTATAGAGTTCTTTTTTGTGGTACCTGGAGGCTAATTTTAATAAATTGAGAGGGTTTAAAGAACGGGTGCCTAAACGATAATTTTTTTTGATGAGAACGGGCTGGGCGGCATGGCCGACTAATTTTTCGTTGATGCGATATCAGTAAGTGGTTTGTTGGGTGGGGTAATTATAATGACAAAAAATGTGCTGATTGCGGGCGAGGGGTTGACCGGTGGTAGCGTCTAATTTATGACGACCAATTAGCAGAGCAGGTTTTTGTTCGTAATCGTAAAGATTTTTAAAAAAATGATAAGCCTTGCTGTGAGTTTGAAAGCCGTGCTGCTGATATAAATTGCGTAAGTGAAAAGATTTAGCGAGATACTTGGCTAAATAATTAGAGATGGTTTTGTGGCCTGGGGAGCGAGATTCTACCCGGCCGTAAGGTCATAATTGGCTAATGTAAGCCCGACAATTTCAACAAGAGGTAAAATTTTTATCTAAGGTGCATTTGTGGGAGTAAGGGACAATAGGAGTAGAGAGTAAATGGAAGTGTCAAGTAGCCGGACGATTATTTTTAGGTTTTTGTAATTCGGCTACTACCACTCACTTTCAGTGAGGTGGCTTTCATTGGAGGCGAATTTGCCGTAAGAATTTAGTGAGAAGGCGATTGGCTTGAATAAAATTGCTGGCTTGGTCTTGGGGGATTTTGTGAAGGAGAATTTTTGAAGGTTCGGCTTGAGAGTCAAAATTTTGGGCTCAATCTTTTAGTCAATTGTTTTTAGTGCTGATTGGTTCTCAGCAAGAATCGGATGGGTCTCAATTAGTAGTTCAGGAGTGGTAATTATCGTGCGTAGTATTAAAAGTGAGAGTGAGAAAAAGGGAGGGTTGGGTGGCCTCTGTGCCTTCAAAATTGCCTTCGATTTTGTCTTTAAAACGGGTGTGGAGTTTTTTTTCTTTGCTGTTGAAGAAGGCAAAGTAAGTGCAGTTTTGAGCGTCTTGGAGGCAGTTGTCGGGGAGTTTAGCGGATTGGGCGGAGGTGGCGGGTTTTTTATTTTTGCCTAAGTAAAAAGATTGGGCCGAGTTTTTGGAGAGAGTGACCGAGAGGCGATTGGTGGATTCGATATGTTTGGTGGAGACTGAGAGAACGGAGAAGGAGGTGTGGTCCTGGGCTAAAAAGGATTTGAGATCGGACTTGGAGACTTGCTTGATTTCTGAAAGGTCATTCAGTAATTTTTGGGGGGATTTTGACCGATTAATAAGGTATTTTTTTTCAGATTTAAAACCTGTAGTTATGTTTCCATTAAATCAAATATTTTATATCAATTTATCCTCACTTAACCAAAGATTTGAAGATGAGAGTTTCTTGTTAGAAGTTAAAAAAAGTAATATTTCAGAAACCTAAAAATACTGCTGCAAAATTTCAGGAATAGTTAATTTATTTTCTTCCTCATTATAGTAATACTCGCACAGAGCAATAATTAAACGATCAACTGCCAGGGCCGAACCATTAAGGGTATGAGGATAATATTTTTGGTTTTCTTTTTTGACTCGGATTTTGGCTCGACGACTTTGAAAATCCTCACAATTGCTACATGAGGAGATTTCTAACCATTTTTGGCTGATTGGCAGCCAGACTTCAATGTCGTATGTTTTGGCTGCTGTAAAACCTAATTCGGAGCAGCAAAGTTCAATTACTCGGTGGGGAATTTTTAACAGATGGAGAATATTGCGAGCATCGGCTAACATTTTTTTCAATTCGGTGTAAGAATGGTCGGGTTCAATTATTTTCACTAATTCGACTTTATGAAATTGGTGTAGACGAATTAAGCCTTTATTTTCCTGACCGGAAGCCATTCTTTCAGCCCGAAAGCAGGGACTATAAGCACATAACTTCAAAGGCAATTCTGCTTCGGTTAATATCTGATTTTGGTAGAGATTAACTAAACTGACTTCGGCGGTGGGGAGGAGGTAAAAATCACTTTCCTCCAATTTATAAAGATTATCTTGGAACTTGTGAAATTGACCGGTATTATAAAGGTTATGAGCCTTGACTAAATAAGGAGTGTCAAATAAGCGATAGCCCCGTTTACTATTTTCGGCTCGCATAAAATTAATAAGAGCATGTAATAATTGGCTGCCGAAATCTTGATAAACTGCGAACTTACTACCAGATAGGAGAATACTTTTTTCCTCGTCAATTAATTTCAATTTTTTTAGAATTGCTTCGTGGGTTAAATTGTGTTGAATGGCGTGTTGATATTCGGTGCTAGCGATTACTCGGTTGCCTTCTTCGTTAGTGGGAGTATCCAGAGCCGGCAGATTGGGAAGTTGGTTGGTTAATTTGCTTAATTCGGTTTCTAATTTTTCTAATTCTTTTTCAAAATTGGCAACTTCCTCTTTAATTTTCTTGACGGCAGTTGCATTTTGGGGTCCGTCTTGGCTCAATTGGTTCCTTTTTTGTCGTCATTCATTAATTATCTTAATTAATTCCTTGCGTCTAAGCAATTGCTTTCTAATAGTTAATAATTGTTCTCTGCTTACCCCACGCCAGGCCAAACGCTCAGCCAAATCGTCAAAATCAGTAAAAAATTTTTGTCAGTCTAACACCTTAATTTATCGTTCTTTTCTGTTTCTGCCATTATTGATTATTAACTTGAATTAAATTTTGTAATGCTAATCTGGCTTGGTTAATTTGATAACTTCGCACGTCCCTAACTTTAAATGAATTGTCATCTAAATCTTCATTAGTGGCTCATTGTTCCATGGCGTCTCCCTCCTCCAATTCAGCAAAATTCTCTAAAACGTTTTTCAAACAGTCTACTCCCGCTCCTACTCTTCCTTGATTACCAAAAGTAAAATAAAACAGGTGGTTAGTGGGCAAATATTCTAATCCTCGGTCGATATCAGTAGCATTAATGTCTAATTCTTCTAAATGTTGTAATCGTGATAATTCACCCAGTGAACCATTTCACCGATTATAAATCCCTTGCCCGATTCTAGTTTCGTCATCAGTTCCTAAAAAAAGGGTTTTTAGATTAGTATAATTAGAAAAGCAGGATAAATCCTGAGCCCGAAAATTATTGTTGGTTAAATAAACTCTTTCTAAGCAGTTGGTTGACCAGGGAAGAACAATTTCTCGCAATAAGTTATTATTAGCCTCAATTGTCTCTAAATGTTGACAACCAGTAAGAATTAGTTCATTTATATACTGTTTTCCAATTCTTATACTTTTCAGATTAGTGAAATCCGATAAATCCAAAGTGCCGGTTAAAACTTCGTGGGCTGCTTCATTCAGATAATAGTCAAAAGTAGTATCACGAGGAGCACTACTTATTAATCGGTCGTCTGCTTCTTGCCTGTCTCTTTCCGAAGAGGGTAAAATTAATAATTTAGTAACGCCATTTCGAAGATTGGCAGGAATGTTGTTATCTAGTCAAATTTGGGCTGCAATCATAATATTTAATTTTAGGCTTGAAGTTTTAATTTATTTTTTTCATGTCATTGTTTAATTGCAATGAATAATTATTCGTAATGTTTTATTCTTAAAATATTCTATTTATTTTTCTTATGACGCATTTTTATAATCACTATTATTAAACCGAGCAATAGAATAAAGCCAATTATTAGCAGGGGGACAATGACCGAATTTTGTGGGGGGCGAGCGCTTGCCCTCGTTTCTCGATTTTGGCTTTGTTGAACCATGGCTTGTTCTATTTTTTCCAAAAGGGTCACCACCTCGGCCGAACTAGTAAGCTTATCCAAATAATCCATTCAACTATCGTAGCCCGCTCAGATTTCTTTTAGCTTTTCCAAATCAGGTCGGTATTTTTTGAATAATTCCAAGATTTTACTTTTAGCCACATTTTTGGCAGAGGGCAAGGGCAAATTGCTAATGAGATTTTTGGTTTCATCATCAATAACATTATCATTTTTTTGAGAGTCATGGTCGGAGGAATTATCATTTTTTTCTTTCTCCTCTTCCTCTTTTTCCTCAACTCCTTTTTCTTTTAAAGCGGCTGAAAAAGCATTTAAGTAATCGTTCGCTTCGTCAGCCGTGTTTAATCCCATAATATCATTTTCCCAATTCCGATATTTACCATCAGCCAGAGTATTTAAATCGATATTTCTTAAATTATCCGGATCAGTGAGAATTGTATTTATTTTTTCAATTGCTTGCTTTTTTAGTTTGGTTAATTCATTTTCGGGTGGCGGGGAGCCTCCTTGCTCTCCCTGTTTCTTTTCATTTAATTTTTTAACATTGTTGTTATAGATTTGATAAATATTATTTTTAAGATTTAATACTTTTTGTCTAGTTTTGTCATTTTTGTCGCTAGTTTGTTGATTAAACGGGCTGTTGAGCGGTTGGTCTGCGTCAAAGAGGACAAAAGGGGCGGTTTGAAAAAAATCCAAAGCGTTGTCCGAAAATGACGGCAAAGTTAGTCCGAGAGTTTGAGCCTCTTGAACCACGGATTTATTTTGGTTAATTATATCTTTCAGTTCGTCGCGTAATTTAAAAAAACTATTTTCTTCATCTATCAGATCTTGATTTTTTTTCACGACATCAGGAAAGGATGGGGGAGGTGGGGGATTATTGGGCGTTCTGTTGCCGCCACCTGGGGGAGGAGTAGTCGATACTAATTCAATAGTGCGAAAATAATTTTTAATACTAATTTCTTCAATATGGGCATCCACTTCGGCTCGGCCTGGACCTAATTCGACATCCCGAATAATTACCTGATTACCGTCTTGCAGAAGTGAGTCATTGGACTGAATAGTAAGAAAATGAATATTGAAACCTTCCACCACTGACGGAGCCGACAAAATGATATAATGAGGATTACCATTATAGCCCGGAATTACATGGTCAATCAGAAAAGTTAAATCTCTGGTTGTGGTTGGCTGCTGGCGAAGCGGTGGAGGAGAATTGTTTGATGAGGGGGGGGTGTTGGATGTCTGATTAGTATTATTAGGCGGTGAGTTTTGGGTTTGGGCTTGATTTTGTTCTTCTGCGTCGTCATTGCTGGCTGCGGGGGCCGTGCTGTTTCGTATAACAGGGTCATTTAATAAATCGTTTGGACTTAAACTTGATTTTATTTGCGTCGTTCCCACTGTTAAATCAGTATTATCAATATCCATTGTAACAGCTCCAAAACCATTTCCGAGGGCAGTTTTGTCAACCGCAATTCAACTTGATAATCTTTCGCCTCTAAGAACATTAAGAAGTTTAACTTTAACATCATCTATACTAATACTATTAGGGTCATCTTCAGGACCTAAAAAATTGTTTTTTCAATTTGGAGCACGATGAATTTTAAGTTGTTCTTGAAAAAGTTTTTGAAGGGGTTCAGAAGCTATACTACAAGTTAGATCCGCTCCTGTGGAAAATTCATTTTGCAAAGAATATCTATAAAATATTATTCAATTAGTTTCACCATTAAGGCGAATTATCCCCTCCTTATCGTTTTCGCTTAAATATGCGTATAAACTATCGAGATAATTTCTGGTTAATTGTTTTATTCTGTCATTCATAATTTTAATTCAATTTTTGTCTTTTTACCCCGAACGACCGCATTAACTTGATTGTTTTTTTTTTGTTGACTGTCATACTAGTTTGCATATTTCGTTTACTATATAATAATATTTTATTTTTGTATTATATATTATTTTTAGGAATCGTTTGGGTATTATACTTTTTCGTCGTTTTTATGGATTCATGAGGAGATGAATGAAGTTTTTAAGAATTCAATTCTTTAATTTTCTTTTCTTCTGCTCCCAGTAATTTATCTTGATAATCTTTAACCAATTTATCCCCTTGTTTTTCATAATTTTTTTTTTGGTCCTGGGAGAGATTGGAGGTTTTTTTTAACCAGTTTTTTATTTCTTGGTGAATAAGACGAAATTCTTTTTTTCCCTCTTCGGTAATTAACTTGACCTCAGTAATCAGCCTTTCTTTGATTTCTTTTGTAAACGGAGTAAGAGTAAAATAAACTTCTTCTTTGGTGCTTCTTTCTAATTTATATCCTAATTGTTTATCTAAAATTGTTTTACTAATTAAAGGAATAAATTTTGGTTCAAAAGCCCGCACCACCAATTCGTGGGCGGGGGAAATTCGCAAATTACCAATGGCTTTCAAAGGTTTTTTTTCACCTTGACAGTTTATTATCAATCCCCTAATGGCTTCCAATGAAATACGATTACTTCGAATTCGTTCTAATTTGCCAACAAAAATGGTTAATTCTTTTTCCAACTGCTCAATCTTTTTCTCTTTGATGACTTCTCAATTATTTTCCATATTAATTTTTTTAGTAATTTTTTTGTTGTCTTTCTCAATTAATCCGGTTTTTCGCCAGGTAGGCTTCTATGATATCTTTTTCGCTTTTGAGACCTAATTTTTGAGCCAATTCTTCGAAAATTATTAATCAGCGATAGAAACTGGTTTTATTTTTTTCTACTTCTATCTCATTCAAAAAACTGTTACTCATTTTTTCTATATATTTTTTGGCCTTTTCTTTAATTAAAATTAATTCTTCTTTTCGTTTGGCTAATTTTTCTTCGTCTCTTTCCTTAATTTCTAAATCATTTAAACTTTTTTCTCAATTTTTTTCGAAGTTGGTTAAGACGTGCTGCTTCATTTTGTTTCAAGGAGCCGTAAGACTGAATGAATTCGTTTCTGCAAAAAAAGCCAACAATAATTCATTAAAATCAGGTTCAGGGACTAATTTACGAAATTTATAATCTCCAAAATCAATTTGGAGACTGTTGGCTCAACTCAAATAAAAATGTAGGCAATCAATCAATTCTTCCTGGGCCTTTTGTCAATCAACTTCTTTCTGTTTTTTTCAATGTTTAAAAGTTTTTAATTCATTGGCCAATTCGCCAATTTCTACCAAAAGGGCAATTTTAGTCCGGATAAAACTTTTTCCGGTTTCAAAATTATCAGTAATATTATTTTTTTGAACAATAAATCCGTCTAATTTTTTTTGTTCGTTTTGTAATTTTTTTAGGGTTTTTGGGGTTAACATTTTTAATTCAATTTTTACTTATTCAATAACTTTTCCTTGGATAATTTTAATTCATCCTTTTTATCTGATTAATATGTTATTTAATTTATTGTCTTATTAATCACTCCTAAAACATTTTTCTCAATTTCTTGATATAATTCCGGATTTTCAATCAAATAATCCGTTACATTTTCTTTGCCCTGACCTAATCTTTTGTCCTGATAAGAGTATCAAGTTCCGCTTTTGTGAATAATATTTAATTCTGTGGCTAAATCAATGATTTCTCGTTCTTTTTGCGTGCCATGGGGGAAAATGATTTCTAAATTAACCACTTCTCCATGAGGGGCCATTTTATTTTTTACTATTTTGGCTTCGGTCTCAATACCAATAATTTTGTCATTTTTTTTGAGGTCTTCTTTTTTTTTTAATTTAATCTGTAAATCGGCATCAAAATCCAGAGCCATCCCACCAGTCTTGGTCTCGGAGGGAGCATAAGGGTTAATAGAGATATTTTTGCGTATTTGATTAATGAAAATGACAATAGTTTTTTTGTTAACTAACTCGGGTTTAAGTTTCCTTAAACCGGCTGACATTAAAGCGGCATGAGAACCAACTCTCTGCTTACCTAAATTGGCTTCTAACTGAACGAGAGGAACTAAATTAGAAACGGAATCCACGATAATTAAGTCAACATTTTTGTGAATCAATTTAATCATCATGTCAAAAACTTCTTCTCCTGAACTTGGATAAGGGGTAATTAATTCTTTAATTTTCACACCAACGTTTTTAGCGTGTTTAATGTCTAGGCTATTTTCTAAATCAAAGTAAGCCGCTTTTTTGCCTAATTTTTGACATTCGCTAACCGCTTGTAATGCTAAGGTGCTCTTGCCGCTAGATTTTAAGCCGTATATCTCCACAATTCTCCCACACGGATAGCCGCCTGCCCCAATAGCCTGGTCCAGCAAATAACTGCCAGTGGAAATCACCTCTCGGGGCTTTTTTTCATTTTCCCCCAATAGAATAACTGATTCTTCTCCAAAATCTTTTTTGATACTTTCAACAATGTCTTCTATCTCAGCTAGCACATTACTGCTAACTTCTTGCCCTGATTTGAGTTCCTTTTTTGATGACATATTAATATTTTTTTTGCTTTGCTCTTAATTGAAAATATCCTTGTCGTGTTGTCGTGTTTTTCTTTAATGTAGTCCAGTATTCTGACAATGCTTTCTGCTGGGGATAAATGGGTGGTATCCAATTCTCAACTATCGGCCGTTTTTCGTAAGGGAGAAAGGGTGCGGTTTTTATCTTTTTCATCGCGAGCCAGCAAATCTTTTTCAACTTGTTCCCGGTTTATTTTTCCCTGGTGCTGCTGATAGCGGCGATGGACGCGTCTTTCTCAACTGGCGGTCAGAAAAATCTTGACTTCGGCGTCGGGCAAGACTTCCGAGGTTATGTCTCGTCCGACTACAACCCAGCCTTTATTTTGGGTCAATAAGCGTTGACAATTGAGAATAATGGTTCGTAATTCTTTGATAATTGCCAATTGCGAAGCCAAATTGCCAATTTTTTCAGAACCCAAAACGTCTCTTTGCTGCTCTAATTGGACGGCAATTTCCGGGTTATCAATTAAAAACCGGTCTTGTCATTTCGCACATAATTCAATTATCCGGTTGGGTGAAGGTCGTGCCGAGCCATTATTATCTTGGTAAAATCGGGCAAAATGGCGAAATAGCAAACCGCTATCTAAAAATTGATAATTTAATTTTTGGGCCACCAAGCGGCCAATCGTGGTTTTGCCGGAGCCGACTGGTCCGTCAATGGCAATATTGATTTTAGGCATTATTTATTAGGCTAAATATCATCATTTTTCAAATTCTTCAAATTTCGGGTCTGCTCTAATCATTACTTCTATTTCTTTACATATGTCATAGAATAATTTGCCGTGCCCCCCCCCTTCTTCGCCCTCATATTTAAACTCAAATGTGGCAACTATAGCGTGAGCTAATTCGTGGGCAATAGTGTCTACCACCGATTCAAAACAGATATCCACATAAGAAAACCCTCCTTTTTCATTCAGTTTGATTATAAATTCCTCGTAGCCCAAACGGTTTAAAAACATTTCCTTTTTCAATCTAATTCTTATGGGCCTTATATCATCAACTTTTCCATAGGTTAAAAATGAAGTTTCGCCACCTTCTCAACCAACTTCTTTATAATTTCTACCTTCATTATTATCTCCAACAAAATAATAGTAAGTTATACCAAGAGTCGTTTTGCCTTCCTCTTGCTGTGCTTCTTTTTCATCCTTATTTCTAATGAAGCCTTTATAACCTTTAAAATTGACTTGGAGAGGTTGTTGGAGCCGGGCCACCGTTTCTTTTCAATCTGCTCTATTTTTTTTATTATTCACGTCCAGAAAATAATTAAAATCCTTCTCAGGGGGGATACTGTCCGTTTCTATTTTCCGACCTTCAATTGTGCAGGGAAAAAATTTTCTAGGCAACTTTCCTTTATGTTTATACTTCGGCATTATTTCTTCTTTGGCTTGATAATACCATTTATCTATTCAGGTTTTCAATTGCGCTGTGATTGCTTTTTCCTCGGTTTTGGAAATGTCCCAAATGTCTTGAAATTTTTGCTGTCGTTTCAATTCCTCCGTGCTCTGATTAATGAATGATGCTTTAGCTTTTGCCCGAACCAAGGCTTTTCCTTGCTCGTAAAAAAGTTGGTAAAATTTAGAAATAAAAGTAGGGTTGGTTTTTGCTAATTCTGATAAATTTTGTTCTTGTAGTACTTCATCTATTTTCATATCAACACTTTCCAACTCCTTGCGAACTTCGGCCTTTTCCGCCTCGGTCAATCTTTTGCTCTTCATTTTGTCGTTTAAAAACCTCTTTGTCGTCTTTAAGCGGCCGCGATTGCCAAGTATTAATTGTTTGAGATCGTCTGCGGTGGGAGTGTCGGTTCATTTTCCTAACTCTCCTTCATAATTGTAATTTCACTTAGGCTTTTTGTGATTTTGTCATCACCAATACCCTAATGCACCAATTAGTAGAGTCATCAGAAAAATTAAGAGGATATAAATTAATGTATCGTCGCTTTGTTGACTATTTTTTTGAGAACTCGGACCAGTGCTTTTCATATAAATTATTTAAGTAATTTTTGACCTCAGAGCGGCTTATTCTTATCTGTTCCATGCTGTCGCGGTGGCGGCAAGTAAGAGTATTATAGTGGGATGAATTGGGGTCCACGGTGTCAAAATCCACCGTCAGACCGTAAATGGTGCCAATGGCATCTTGGCGGCGATAGGCTTTGCCAATATTAGGAGCCTCCTCGTAGGTTAAGGAAAAACTGACTTCGGGCAGTAAATTGAGGTATAATTGATAGGCCGCGTCTCTTAATTGTTGGCTTAACGGAATAATCGCTACAAAAAACGGAGCCAGGAGAGGCGGCAGCCGTAAAACTGTGCGGTCTAATTGGGAACCGGACACTTTTTCCTCGTGGTAAGCATCCTGTAATATGGCAAGAATTAATCTTTCTACTCCAAAAGAAATTTCAATTACTTCCGGAATAATCCCGTTAACTCGTAAATCTTTTTGGGAATGTTGGCTGTGTTGGGATAAATCATAATTTCCCCGGTGGCTATTGCTACACAATTCCCCTCACCCAAAATGATAATTGAAATAGAGGTCCTGGGTTCTTTTGGCGTAATGGGGTAATTCTTCTTTTGATAGGTCAACCTGTTTGATTTTTTTTTTGTCGTTAACAATGACCTGATTGAGGAAATTTCAAGCCTTTTCGGTTCAATATTTTCATCACTTTTCACTTTCCTCGGACTCACAAAAAAATTCTAATTCCATTTGTTCGAATTCCCGGGTGCGAAAAATGCCATGGTGAAGCGTGATTTCATTGCGAAAACTTTTGCCGATTTGACCGACCCCAAATGGCAATTGTCGGTGGGTGCTTCTTTGAATGAGAGCAAAATTGGTGAATATGCCTTGGCAAGTTTCCGGTCGCAAATAGGCCACATTCTCTTTGTCTTCTGTAATTTCTAAATTAGTGGTTAGCAATAAATTAAATTGTCGGGGCGGGTGAAAATCATTTTTGCCACAATGAGGGCATTTTTTTTTCACTTGATAATTATTTTTGTCCCTTTGGGACAAGAAAACTAAAAATTGCTCGCTGCTAATTAAATTGTCAAGGCGATATCTTTTGCGACACTGGCGGCATTCTACCAATCAGTCATGAAAATTTTTCAAATGTCCCGAGGCCGCTAAAACTTGGGGATGGGTAATTATTTGACTATCGCAACCAACATTGTGAGGGTTAGAAGTAATGAAATACTTTCACCAAAGATTTTTTAATTTTCTTTTTAATTCGGCCCCGTGGGGTCCTAAATCCCAAGCTTTTGCCAAACCCCCATAGATTTCGGCATTGGGAAAGAAAAATCCATAATGTTTTAAGTAATTGGTTAAATCTTTAGGAATGACTGAATTATTTTCTGGCATTTGGCATTAATATATTACAATGTTAGAATTATTTTATAATGAGATTTATAACCATGGCTGGTATGTCGTTTCATATTATTTCAATGTCTCGAACTAGGCAGACATCCATGAAGGACTTTTTTGAGGATGCCTGACCTCTCGGCCTATAGCCTTTATTATGATTAACTTTTTTTATGATTAACATAAACTAACTAATGAAAAAAATAATCTTGCCTCCCTGATTTTTGACTAAGGCTTCGCGGTGGGTTAGGAGCCCGAGCGGAGTAGAGATAAAATAAAATCCATGACCCCGACAATTTTTTTTTATTTCTTTCACTCGTAAATGAATATGCTGAGAAGGCTTGGAAATCTTTTTTATTTGGTGAATGTGGCTATTTTGATTAGCATATTTAATATCTACTTTGATATTTCGGTTTTTATCGTCGTATCAGCATTGCGAAAGAAAATTATTTCCCACCAGTATTTTACATATTTGTCATTTAAACGCAGAATAAGGAAAAGTAACCGTTTTATAACCCCGCATATTAGCATTACGGATGGAGGTTAGCATATTAGCCACTGGATCGGATAAATTCATACTATTTATTATAATATTAATTTTAAGCACTTTGGACCTCCCGTGCCATAAAAAAAAATAATATTATTAAAGAATGACGGTCATTGATCGGTTAAGTGCTAAGAGGATTGAATTAGAAGTAAGGTTGAGTAATTCATACCAAAACGGAAGCCAACGAGGAGAGACTTTAAAATACAAAATCAAAAAAATTGAAGAATTGATTGACGCTTACCAGTCAACTCCCCCACCAATTAATTTTTCCGAAGCAGAGGAAATACTTAATCAACAAGTAGGGTTTTCTGAATTAAAAGAAAAAATTTTAAACAGTTTGAAAATTAGAGGCTACTGTGAACAGAGAAATATCAAAAAAGCTCCGCTAATTTTGTTTCTAATTGGACCTTCTGGAGTAGGAAAAACGACTTTGGCTACCCTTTTAGCCCGAGTCTTAAAAAAAAAATTTTTCGCCGTGGCACTGGGGGGAGCAACTAACAGTTCATTGTTGCTTGGAGCCAACGAAAACTCGTCTGGAACCGAAATAGGACAATTAACTAAGGCTCTGGTTGAAACCGAAACTCACGATCCATTAATTTTGTTGGATGAAATTGATAAAGTTAACTTCTATGGAGGTAATTCGGCTATTCATAATTGCCTAAACGCAGCTTTGGACCCAGAGCAAAATAAGGAAATTCTGGACTATTATCTGGATGTTAAATTAGATTTTTCCCAAGTAACTTTTGTAGTTACGGCTAATGACCCGGACAAAATTCCTAAATGTTTGCTTTCACGAACGTCATTGATTATTGAATTGCCTGGTTATAACTTGGAGCAAAAGAGAGAAATTGCTCGTCAATTTATCCAAAAATGATTTGACCAAAATTCCAGTCTTAATCAGAATAATCTGGAAATTACTCCTGAAGCTTTGGAAACGTTAATAAACAAAACTAAAGAAAAAGGCGTTCGGCAATTGAATGCGGCCCTAGAAAATATTTTTGACTATTGTCTTTTACAATGAGCCGAAGAAATGGACCAAGGAAAATTAGAAAGTAAAATAAAGATTGAACCGGAAATGGTTCATGAAATTATTCCCTGCGGTTTTTTTAACATTGATTTAGAGGATAACCAGGAAAATGACAAAAAACAATTAGAAATTTTACGCCGTGAATTAGAAAAATTTAAAGAGAAAAAAAATAATCAGGTTGAGTTGAAAGGAATCAGACTTAACTCTTTATTGGTGTTACGACAAATGAGAGGGCAATTTACTGACCAAGAATACCAGGAATACGAAGGAAAAATAAATGTTGCTTCTTCGCGAGAAGAAGTTGAAGTAATTGTGAAAGAATTTTTGTTAAAAATTCGGCAAAAAGCCGCTTCTCCGAAGCCGGTTCAAGAAAACGGGAATAAAAAGGCTAAGGACAATTCAGCAGAAATAACAAAACAAAACCAAATTCTGACCGAAAAAATTAAATTTTTAAACGCTGAAATAGAAAAGTTAAAAAGAGAAATTGAGGGCTTGCAAAAACCAGAAGAGAGAAATAAAATTTTGTTAATATTGGTTATTATTGTTCTAATGGCTAGTGGAGTTTATGGAATAATTAAGTCATTGACCTTTTTTGGAGAGAAAGAAAAGAAAAATAGATTATAATATTTTTGAACAAATGTAAATATGAAAAAGTTTTGGAAGAAAATATTTTTTTGGGTCATTTTAATAGCATCAATACTTGCGGCCGTTTTATTTGTTAATTGAAAAATAGAGAATGGCAAAAAGGACAAAGGAAATTCAGAAAATAAACCGCAGCAAAGTCCGTCCAAGCCATCAAATAACGATAACCCGACAGAAAATCCCGTCCCAAAACCACCGGTGGATGCCGAAAATTGATGATTAGGTGAGGAGGAAATAGAGCATGCCTACCAAGAAATTAGGAAAGAAAACACCAACCATCCAGAAATCCAATTAGTTAATCCCAGCGTGGTTCGCACTATCCAAGAAGGAGGCGAAATTAGCAAGGATTTGAAAAAGGCGAAAATAGTTTTCTTTCCGGTAAACAATCCAAAACAGCAGGGAGTAGTAGACACTGAAAATCAGTGGACCTTGCTGGTTTATTTAGGAGAAAATTTGGGATTTTTCAATTATAATCCTTCAAAATTTACTTTTACTCCGAAAAATGCCTTAGAAGTAGCGGAAAACTTTCACAAAAAAGTAAAATTGCCGGCTTGACCTCATGTCGAAAATGTGAAAGACATTCCTCGGCAAGACAATAATCCGGACAGCGGAGTTTATGTAATTGCTTACACTAGAGCCTGGATAAATCTCTACAAAGAAAAGCAAGCCCAAGAAAGCGGTTGAATGCCAATAAGTTTAGACGAAAAAGACTTCATTTTCTCAATTTCCGAGGAAAGACAAAAATTAAAAGAGTCCGGTTTTCCTAAAAAATAATAAATTTAATCAATTAATAGATTATTGCCTTTTTTATCTTTAAAGTTACGAGCAACTCGTTTTTTTTGACCCTCTTTTTCCCGAAAACCAATTTTAGTAATTTGTTTTCTATCCTCTAATCAATAAGCGACATTTGAAATATAAACAGGAGTCATGATTTCCTTTAATTCGCTTTTTTTCTTGCTTTCGGGGGTTGATTTATCATATTTTTTGCGGCTGACTTTTTTCAAATAGACCATCTGTTTTTTTGGGTCCAGACGAGAAATGAAATCGATTGTTCCCCGGTATTTTCCAGTAATAACTTTTACTTTATCACCACTTTTTAATTTGATTTTAGGACTTGACATGAGATTTATATTTAATATTTTTTCACTTTTTTTCTTTTCTTTGCTATAAATACTACCGCTAGCCCTATTACTAGTAAAAATAATCCACCACCTACCACTCAACCGGTCGGGAAATTATTATCAGACTTACTAGAACCTTTACTATTGTCAACATTAGACTTGGATTTCTCTAATTTCTCTAATTTTGCTTGTAATTTTGATTGTTTTTCGGAAGTATCTGTATTTTTGCCAGCCTTTAATTGCTCCAATTCTGCTTTTACTTTGTTAATTTCATTAATCAATTTTTCGTGAGTTCAGTTTTCGTAATTTTCCTCATCAGTTTGAGAATCATCCAAACCATTTTTTTTAACTTCCTCTAATTCTTTTTCTTTTTCCTCAACCTTTTTTTGAATTTCAACTTGCTGTTCAGGAGTTTGACTTTCTGAATTTTGGTTTTTTAAGTTTTTCTTTTCAATCACTATAAGGAGACCATAAACTAGAATCCAACTCAGAAATAGATACATTAGATGAGGTTAAACTTTCTTCAATACTCCGTATAGCTTCACTTCGAGCTGTTTCTTCTTCCTGCCTACGGTTCTCTTCATATTCATTAAATGCCCTTTCTGTCTCGTTAAATTGCTTTCTTACCTCTTTCAACATTTCTTCAAACTTTTCAAATTCAGCATCTGAACTAAATTTGTTAGAAGAACCAGACTCCTGTTTACCTGATAAAACAGCATATGCTTCACCGACTTCGATAAATTTCTGTTTGGCTCATTCTTCATTACCGTGATTTCGCTCGGGGTGATATTTTAGAGCCATTTTTTTGTAAGCCTTTGCTATTTCTTCTTGGGTAGCACCTGGACTAACTCCTAATATTTGGTAATAATTCTTTGACATATTATTGCTGTTTAATATTATATATAATTTATTTTTGCGTTCTTGGTGATATTTCCCTAATCTTATTTTTTGCTTCTCGTTAATAACTAAAACTAAACCACAATCCTGTAAAATATTATAAATCAATGAAAAGTAAATCTCCCCTTAATTATTATTACCAGCAAGAATTAAAGCGGCAAAAAAAAACTCTCAACCTAATCGCCAGTGAAAATTATCCCTCCTCGCAGGTTTTATTTTATAGCGGCTCTTTGTTAATGGCTAAATATGCGGAAGGTTATCCTAAAAATCGTTATTATCAAGGTTGTAAATATATTGATCGAATAGAAAATTTGGCTATCGATTTAGCAAAAAAACTATTTGGAGTTGAGCATGCTAACGTTCAGCCCCATTCGGGGGCCCAAGCTAATCAAGCGGTTTATTTAGCACTATTAAAACCCAGAGACAAGATTTTAAGTTTGAACCTTTTGTCTGGCGGACATTTGACGCATGGAGCGTCGGTTAATTTTTCCGGAATTTTCTATCAAGTTCATTGTTATAATTTAGACCCCAGCACCCAAAAGTTAGATTACGAGACCATTAGAAAAATAGCCTGGGAAGTGCGTCCGCAGTTAATAATTGCTGGCTATAGTAGTTATAGTTTACAAATAGATTTTGCTAAATTTCGGCAAATTGCTGACGAGGTGGAGGCCTATTTGCTGGCTGATATCTCTCATGTGGCTGGATTAGTGGCTGCCGGTTTATTTCCCAATCCAGTTCCTTATGCGGATGTAATTACTTTAACCACTCACAAGACCTTGCGAGGACCGCGCGGAGCCGTAATTTTAACCAAAAAGGGGTTGGGACCAAAAATAGACAAGGCGGTTTTTCCGGGCAATCAAGGCGGGCCTAATCCGGCCATTATTGCTGCCAAAGCCCAGTGTTTTTTTGAGGCTTGGCAACCAGAATTCAAAGAATATCAAAAAAAAGTGCTACAAAATGCGAAAGTAATGGCTGATTATTTTTGCCAAAAAGGGGTGAGGATGATTAGTGGAGTCACCGAGACTCACTTGCTAGTTATTGACACTAAAAAAAGTTATAATTTGACCGGTCGGGAAGCCGCTGCCATATTAGAAAGAGTGGGACTTGTTGCCAATAAACAAATGATACCTTATGATATAGAAAAACCCTGAATTGGCAGTGGTGTTCGTTTAGGTTCGGCGGCTTTGACTACTCGGGGATTAGAAAAAAAAGAGTTTTTGAGAATTGCAAAAATAATCGATTTAGTTCTGCGAAATTACCAAGATAAAAAAATAGCAAAGAGAGCAAAAAGGAGAGTGAGATATTTAAGTCGAAAATCCCTTTAAAATCCACTCTCTAATAGTTCTTTTAAATCTTGCCAATTCCTCACTGGTCGGTATTTTAGTTTTCTTCCATATTTTCGGTCGAATTCGGTAAATTTTTCCAGAGGAACTGGTTTTTCCACACCGATTATCACCAACTTTTTCTAACTTTGTCATCAATTTAATTTTATACATATTATATGTTATGCTCGTCCAAAAAACTATTACAGCGTTAATAACCGCACCTATTACCCAAAACATCGCTCTCATTAGAATTTCTGGTGGCAAAACTTATTCGATTATCACCAAAATTTTTGACCGTCCACTACCCGAATATCCCCAAAAAAAACCACAATTAATTTTCGGCAAAATTGTCAATTCCCAACGAGAAATTATTGATGAAGTATTATTACTTTGCTTTTACAAACCCCATTCTTTTACAGGGGAGGATGTGGTAGAAATTAGTTGTCATGGTAATTTATTCGTGGTCCAGCAAATATTACAATTGGTTCTCGAAAATGGGGCGGAATTGGCCGAAAAAGGCGAATTTACCAAACAAGCCTTTTTTAATGGCAAACTCAATTTGGTCCAAGCCCAAGCCATTAATGATTTAATTCGGGCTCCTAGCCTTCAAGGAGCCAAGTTGGCCCTCCACAATTTAAGCCCTGAAAGTCAAAAAGAATTGGAAATAATTGAAAATGAATTATTAGATATTATCGCTACCATCAAAGTAAATATTGATTACCCTGAATATGACGGAGTGGAATATTTGACCGGCCGAAGGGTTTTGCCAAGGATAACTAAATTGGTCAAAAAATTACAAATTATCCAAAAAACCGGGCAAAAAACTCGGGTCTACCAGGAAGGATTAAAAGTGGCTATTGTGGGCAAGCCTAATGTAGGTAAATCTACCCTTTTGAATGCTCTGCTTCAAGAGGAAAAAGCTATTGTTTCTCCGGTAGCAGGAACCACCCGAGATATAATTGAGGCTCATTATAGCCTAAATGGAATTCCGCTAATTTTACTGGATACTGCCGGCATTCATGAAACCACCGATATCGTGGAAAAAATTGGAGTTGAACGCAGTTGAAAAGCCCTCTCCCAAGCAGAAATCATTCTTTTTTTGGTGGATAACTCAGGTTTGTGAGGCCCAGAAGAAGAAAATATTTTTTCTCGCGTTAAAAATAAAAATTGTCTAATTATTATTAACAAAATAGACCAGAAAAATAAGTTACAATTGCCGAACTTCATTTTGCCGGATAAGATTTGCCGAATTAGTGCCAAAAATCAACAATTAAGCGAATTAGAAGCCAAAATTAGTCAATTATTTGCCAGCGATTTAGTAAATAAAACTTCCCCTTATCCCTATTTAAGTCAAAGTTGACAGCAGGCCAAACTGGCCAATCTCATTCGGCAACTACAAACCGTAATTAATGAATTAGAAAAAGGAACTTATTTAGATGCTTTGTGCGGCGATTTAGAAATCAGTTATAAATTGGTCCAGGGATTAAGCGGTAAAGAATATAATGGAGAATTATTGGATATCATTTTTAGTAAATTTTGCTTGGGAAAATAAATATTAGCAAGGAAAAAATATGGAATGTTCTGATAGAGAATAAACGAGGATATTTTTGTTCTTTTAGGACTAAAAATTAAAAAATTTGCGTTTATCAGAGACCATTTTCATGTAAAATTATAATGATGACTAAAATTAGAGAATAAATCTACTTCAGCCGCCAAAAATCTCCTTTGGCGGCAGGCTATTCTTAATAATTGAGACTAAAAAATTTGAATTATTAATAACATGTCCTTTGCGTCTAAATACGATTTTAATTTAACCGAAAAAAAAAACCCAAAAACGAATTATTGGAAGCAAGTATCCACCAACACCACCACTAATTTTGCTAGCACTTTGCTGCTTCCGCCCCCAAACATTACTGGTAATTTGCATTTAGGACACGCATTTGAGTTGGCTATTCAAGATTTTTTGGTGCGTTGGTCTTATCTTAACCAGCAACCAATTTTTTGAATTGCTGGCATAGACCATGCCGGAATTTCTACCCAGAGCAAAATTGAAAAATTAAATCTTCCGGAACTTGACACCGACCAAAAAAAAAGAAAATATACTTTTCAAGTCTGATACCCCCAAACTCGCCAAAATTTCTATCAGCAGTGAGAAAAAATGGGTTTATTAATCGATTCCGAAAGAGCCAGTTTCACTCTTGACCCAATTATCCAAAAACAGGTGCGAGAAGCCTTTATCAAACTTTATCGCGATGGTCTAATTTATCGAGGAGTAAGCCTAGTAAATTGAGACCCAAAATTAAAGAGTGTAATTTCTGATATTGAAGTAGAACATAAAACCAGAAAAAGTAAATTATATTACTTAAAATATCCGCTCCAAAAAGGTGAGGAATATTTAATAATTGCCACCAGTCGGCCCGAAACCATTTTCGCCGACGTGGCTCTGTTTGTTAATCCTAAAGACAACCGCTACCAAAAATATCTCAACCAGTCCGTAAAACATCCATTTACGGAAAAAATTATCCCCATTTTGGCAGATAAAAATATCAGAACCGATTTTGGCACAGGTGTTCTAAAATGCACGCCTGGTCATGATTCAACCGATTATGAACTGGGAAAAAAATATCAATTACCAGTAATTAGTTGTTGCGATGAAAAAGGCGTTTTGAATCAATTGGCCGGCTCTTGACAAGGGCAAGAAATTGGCAGTATTCGCGAAGAGTTTGTCAAAGAATTAGAAAAAAAAGGCATTTGCGTAAAAATTGAGGAATATGAAACTAATCTCGCTTGTTCTACTAAATCAGGAGTAGCCATTGAACCTTTGCTTTCACGCCAATGATTTTTGAATTTATCAGTCTTAATTAAAAAAATAGAACAAAACAATCCTAATTTTCTGAAAGAAATAGTTTTTTTGCCCAAGCAATTTCAAAAAAAAATAGAGGAGTGAAAAAACAAAACTAGGGAATGGTGTATTTCTCGACAATTATGGTGGGGACACCAGATTCCGGCTTGATATCATAAAAAAACGGGCGAAGTTTATGTAGGCGAAAAATTGTGCGTTTGTGAAAATCCAGGACAAAAAAAGATACTCGACCACAACCATCGCTCGTTATTGGATTGAGAACCTGAAAAAGACGTCTTGGATACTTGGTTTTCCAGCGGCTTATGGCCGTTAATCGCCCTTGCCAAAGAGGGAAAAAAATTCCCCTCTCCTCCACCAAATTGCTATCCAATAACCATCCTCATAACCGGTTATGATATTCTTTTTTTTTGAGTATTGAAAATGATATTGCTAGGAACTTATTTCACTGGCCGAGTGCCTTTTAAACAGATATTATTACATGGCTTAATTCGAGACAAACATGGAAAAAAAATGTCAAAATCTTTGGGAAATGGAGTTGAACCTGACGAACTTATTGAAAAATACGGCTGTGATAGTTTAAGGCTTTTTTTGCTGGAAAATAATATTTGGGGTTCTGACCTAATTTACGAAGAAAGTAAAATTATTGGTAGTTGGCGTTTTTGTCAAAAATTATGAAGTATTGGCAATTTAATAACCAGCAAAATACCGGCTAGTGAGTTACGAAAGGTTAGCCGAGCAGATTTAAAAAAATATTTATAGAAGGATCCTTAGCTCAACTGGTTAGAGCACCCGGCTCATAACCGGGTGGTTGGAGGTTCAAGTCCTTCAGGATCCACCAAATTACAATAAAATTAACATTATGGCTAGAACATGTCCCTTTGTTGTCGAAAAAGGTTTACTTTGAAATAAAGTTTGCCAAAAGGAAATAAAAAATTCTATCACTCTAAAAAGCGGCAAACAATTTTACAGCGAATATTGTCCGGAGCATGGTTGTCGAGTTTGCGAATATTCTCAACTAAAAGGCCAATATCAAGACCCCCCAAAGAATTTCAAAACTAATTTTGGAGAAGAAGCTTGTTCGCTTGAATGTAAAAATGAAGCCGAGAAAGAGCAATGAAAAAAAGCAGCCAAGTCGGAAGCCGAGGCCAAGAAAAACGTGATGGAAAACATGAGCGAATTTGATGAGGAGGCAATTAGAGAAATCAAAAAAATTTTTGCTCCTTTTTATGAGGTCATTAAGGAAGTTAGAATGAATGAATTACGGAAAGAATTATTGAGAGAGCAGATACAACCTTTTCAATTTCGGGCTAAATGTGGCTCGGCCATTGAGGCCCATAGTTTACTAGAATCGGCCGAAAAAGAGCAATGGGAGCAAATATATGAAGAAGTCTACTCCTGAAAAGATTTAATTAATATTTGTCAAAAGGAGAGAAATTTCTTAGTTTCCTTGGCTAAAAAATACCAAGAAAAGGAAGAACAGGCCCAGCAAGAAAACATCCCCGAATGTAAAAAATGTCAATTGCGACGAGAACAACCTTTAACTTGACCGATTGGCTGCGAGGGTTGGTGTAAAGAGTGTGTGAGACAAAAACAACAAAAAGACAATAATAGCGATTACCAGTTACCGGTTAATGACGATAATAGAGCACCCGCCCGAGATAATCTTCCCCTAAATAATGAAAATAATTCACCAGAAAATTCTGATAAAAAAGATAATTCTCCCTCACTAGACACTAGCGAAAATAATGATACAGAGAGAGAGAGAGAGAGAGAGAGAGAACAAAAATACCGCGAACCAGCAGAACCTCCTACCACCAGGTGAGCCGGATAAAAATGTCACCACAACCAAAAAAAACCTCCCTGTCTCTCTTTTAGTATCAGGAGCCATTGGTGGAATAATTATGGTGGGAGGGATTACTTCTTATTTAGTCGTTGCTAGTAAAAGGTCGGCTATTTTCAAATCTCCAAAAGTGAGGCGAAAGAAATAAATTGTCGTTTGGAGATATCAACAAAAAATTGCAATCCACAAAAGCAAACGAGCAAAATATTTAGAAATCCAGCCTGCCAAAATCAAAAATAAATTATCATGCGTATTACCGACCCTAACTTCTTCACCGTCAGTGCGGTCGAATTAGCCCAAAAATTACTTGGCAAAATACTGGTGCGAAAAATTAATAACCAAGTTATTAAAGTCAGAATCGTCGAAACCGAGGCCTATATCGGCAAAATTGACCGAGCCTGCCACGCCCACCAAGAAAATAAATCGAAATGAAAAGCCTCTGCCTTATATAACCGGGGCGGTTGTGCCTATATTTACCTTATTTATAATACTTATTATTGTTTCAATATTGCTTCCTCGAACAAAGGCGATCCACAAGGAGTTTTAATCCGTGCTGCCGAACCGCTGGAAAGTCACACTATCCCAGTTATTTCGCAACTTCAAGTAAACAAAGATATGAAAAAAATTTACTATCACACTAATGGACCGGGCAAATTATGCCGAGCCTTAAACATTGATATAAACCTTAACCATGCTGACCTAACTACTAGCGATTTAATTTACTTAGAACATGCCCCTGAAATTATTCCAGACCAAATTGTTGCCACTAAAAGAGTAAATATTGATTATGCCGGAGATGATAAAGATAGATTATGAAGATTTTACCTTAAAGAAAATTCTTTTGTTTCGAGAAAATAATCTAAAAATTAACAATGGCCGGATTTTAGTCATTTATCACTAATCTTTCTTTTTTTAGGACTAGTTTCTGTTCCCTAATTTGGAAAAGCAAAAAAACAATAAACCTAAAAAAAGAAAATGACACCCGCTTAGCAAGCAGGAGTGAAGTTTGTTGTTTTAGATAGACACTTATCACTCTTTATTTGAATGCTCGGATTAAATGATTTATCGGCAATAAAACCTATTCAGAAATAGGGACAGGTGCGGTAGTCACGCTCACCGGAATTGCTACCGACAGTGAAGATTTGAGAGAAGCAGGAATAATTATTCTTGGCTCGGAATTAGGAAATTTAGGAGAAGGTTGTTGCAAACATTGCCCTAAAAAACAAATAAAATAATTAGCATTTTTTTAATTTCGGAAGCAGAATAGAAAGCCAGTCAATCGGTTTTTTGCCTAATTCGGATAATAATTTATTAACTTGGGAAAAAGGACAGGAGCCAAAAAATCCGTGTTCGGCACTATAAGGAGAGGGGTGAGCACTAGCCAGGCTATATTCACTGCCAATTTGACATTCTTCACCGATTTTTTTGGCTTTCTGGCCCCAGAATATTCAGATTAATCTTTGGTCGTGGTTTTTCAGGTAAATTAATAATGAATAAATGAATTCTTTTCACCAACTCATATGCGAGAGGGCTTGCCCGTTTCTGACCGTTAAGGCAGTATTAAGTAAAAAAACTCCTTCTTTAACCCAGGGGAGCAAATCGCCTTTAGTGGGAGAAACACAATTAAGATCTCTGCTAAATTCCAAAAAAATATTTTTTAGGCTGGCTGGGATATAATTGGGCTTTTGGGTGCTAAATGCCAGGCCATCGGCTACTTCGGGTAGGTGATAAGGGTCTTGCCCTAATATTATTACTTTTATTTGGTGAACCGCAATTTCCCGAAAAAGACGAAAAATATTTTCTTTTCGGGGTCAACATTTATAATTTTGGTATTCTTGGCTTAATTTCTCCAGCAGAGGAAAAAAATAATCTTTTTGGGCTTCTTGTTGAAAAAAAAGGACTCAACTGGGGTCAATTTTGTCTAAGTAAAATTCTTTTCATAAAAAATCATTATTCATTATTTAATTTTTGAATTTTTGTTATTATTACGTAACAACTGGATTTATAAGCAATAGTCTAAACTACATATACCATGATGAGACCAACCAATAGCACCTAGTCGAAAATGAAAAAAATTAGGAACTAATCCTACTCCTCAAAAAACGTTATCATCTTGAAGAAGGATAAAAGGTGTGCAGTGAGAAGTTTAGAGTTGGCTAATGCTAAAATTAAGTTATAAAAAGTGGAAATTAATTTGAATGGTGTAATAGTAAGAAATTTTAAGGGTTTTTATTAATCAGAAAAAGGAGCAAACGTAATTTGGTCCTCTAATTCGACAAATTTACATTTAAAATCCAGGCCATTCTTGGAAATTATTTCGATTTTTATTTTGTCAATTCCGCTCGCTAAGTAAAGCTTCTTTTTTTCAATAAAAAAGTTAACTAAAGTTGGGTGATTGATAGGGATATAAACGTTAATATCTTCTTGATTTTCTCTGTTGGCAAATTCTCAATATTTCTGTTCCGGGTTTCCAGGACGCCCGCTGGTTACTCTTCCATCATAAAGTAGGTTGGGATTTTGGTCTAACTTTGCAATATCTTTGTTTATTAACTCTTCTGCTCGAAAAGGAAATTGTTCGGATAATTTTTCGATTTCTTGCTTAACTTTTTCGCTCATTCCCGCAAGGGAAAATTCTTTCTTATTAACAGGTTTGCCTTCCTTACGCAAGAGAATAACAAGTCTGTCGTCACTACACGAACAATCTGGCAAATCCAGATAGTTTTCTGTTTTTAAATGGTTTTTTAATTCCTCCTTAATTTTTTCTGCTGAGTTTTCCGGATTTTCGGATGGAGGGTTTTGATTATTATTAGGAGGCGTTTGACTAGGAGTAGAAGAAGAAGATTGCTTATCGTTTTTTTGTTTGATTAAGAAAACACTCCCGATTATTAAGAGTAAAACAATTACGCCACCAATCAATAAAATTATTGGTTGTCATTTTTTCGACTTCATATTATTATTTTTATTTGCTTTTTGGCGTTGTCATTTTAGTATTTCACATAGGAGTTGTCAAACATGAAATAAAATTAATATATTCTTATGAATAAAGCAATTGCTATTCGCCGTTTTTTTCCTTTCTTTACCCATCACCCAAGTCTTGTTTATCTAGACAGTGCGGCTACCAGTCTAAAACCAGAGAGCGTTATTGAAGCAGTGCGGGAATATTATGAAAAATACTCTCTTAATAGCCACAGTGGAGGCGGCGGTTTTTTAAGTCAAAAAATTCAGCATAATATTTTCCAAACCCGCCAGTTAATCGCCCAAAAAATTAAGGCCGACCCGGATGAAATTTTTTTTTTGCCTTCCACTACTTACGCGCTAAATATCTTGGCCTTGTCCGCTCGTGATTATTTAACTCCTGGTGATAAAATTTGCTTAACCCGTTTAGAGCACAGTTCTAATTGTTTTCCTTGGGAAGCCTTGGTCCAAGAAAAGGACAGCCAAGTAATTTTTTTGCCTTTAAATAAAAAGTTTACCATTGATATTGACAAGTTGGTAAGTTATATTGACAAAAAAACCAAAATAGTCAGTTTTTTTCATATGAGTAATAGCCTGGGAGTAATTAATCCCGTTAAAGAGATTGCCGCCAAGATTAAAGAGATAAACCCGAATTGCTGGGTGATAATTGATGCTTGTCAAAGTATCGCTCATTTGCCGATTAATGTTGAAGAATGAAAAATTGATGCTTTGGTTTTTTCCGGACATAAAGTTTATGGGCCAAATGGAATTGGAGTGCTTTGGTTAAAAAAAGAATTAGCCCAAAAATTGCCGGATTTATTATGAGGTGGTGGGAAAAAAAATGGACCAAATAATCTTTTATTAGATAAGAATGAATGTTGACCCTTAACGAGAAAATTTGAAGTTGGCACTTTACCATTAGCCCAAATATTCGGCTTAAAGGCGTCTTTTGAGTTTCTTAATAGTTTAGACATAAAAGAAATAAATAATTATGAGCGAGAATTGAAAAATTATGCTTTGGGTAAATTAAAAGAATTAGAAAAAGTGATTATTTACAACCAAGAATTAGAAACGGTAGATATTATTCTTTTTAATTTGATCGGTCATCACGCTCATGACGTGAAAAATTATTTAGGTAAAAATAGCATTTTAGTGCGTGCGGATAACTTTTGTTGTCCTTATCTGCCTGAATTGATTGGTGAAGAAGCTGCTGTCCGAATTTCTCTCTTTATTTACAATACCAAAGAGGAAATTGATAAATTGGTTCACTGTCTAAAAAAATTAGTGGAAAATCCTGACCTAATAATAAATGTTTTGGATTTTTCTCAATAATAGACAGAAAGGGTTTTTTTTGTTAAGTGATATTTTTTTGGATAAATATTATTTACTTTTTAAATATTTATCTTTTGGTTGTTAAGAAATTTTCGATGCTAAAACAATTAAACACCCAATAAGGATTCAAGAAATAACTACAACATGAAGTCAAAAAAAATCTCTTCAGAATTTTTTCCTTCTTTTTCGTTCTTTTTTGGCACAAGGAGAGCAAAATATTCCTTTGCCCCCTAATCTATTTCATTCTCACCAAACTCAAACATGCCATTGACTATCTTTGCCTATTTCAAAGAATTTCTCCCCCGGTTTTAATTGTTTATTACACCTAGCACAATAACGCAACATCTATTGAATAATGTTCATTCTTAAATTTTTTATGTTCTATTTTCTAAAGGTCATCAATTTAATTTTAAAAATTTTTCTTTGAAAACCTCATTTTTTTAGTAAAAGCAAGGCCGAACTCGAATATTTTAATGTATAGTTTTTGGCGTTCCCTGAGGCCAGTATTCCCGATGACCGAAAAATTTCACTCGAATGGTGTTTATAACAAATTTTACTAGTCCTCCCAAAAGAGAGAGCAAATTGGTTCCTATGCTGTTCATCCTAAACGCTCTCGGAAGAATCATACAAAATCCCCAAGTAATAAAAAGACCAATTATTCAATTTTTTGCTATACAATGTTTTAATTCCTGCTTATTTAGCAATCGGCCGTGGCGTGCGAATTCACTGCCGATAATTGAGAGCATAATGGAGATATAAAGAAAGGGAAACCAAATATATCATTCAGTTCCTGAGGCCCCATGCTGTCACCAGCGACTGGTCCGGTCAAAGAAAGTTGGGTGGAGGGAAAGAAAAAAGGTAAATAAAACAAACATAAGGATGTTAAAAAAAAAATATTTAACCAGCGGTCTAATCTCCTCATTCACTTGTTCCCTCTCCTCAACGCTAAGATGAGGGTCTTGTATTTTTTCCGCACTTTGCCAAAATTTCGCCACCTCAGAATAATTAATCCAAATTAAAATTATTTCAATAATTACTAATTTAAAAATTACCTCCAAGATTAAACCCCATAAGAGATTATTATGCAATCCCAGATTTTTACTTCCTCAATTGAGGGGAGAAATAATAACAAATTTGAGAGGGTCGCAGATTATTTTTTGTCAGCAATTTCGGTTATCATCTAATTCGGTAATACTCAATTTATTTTGTGCTAATTGGTCTTGAATATTTTCAATAGTATCTTTTTTGGCTTGCTTTAATTTGTCATTATATTCCTCTTTTTTTTTGGTTAATTCTGCTTTTTCCTCTGCGGTTGGGGTCGGATTTTTTTGTAATGCTTCGATTTGTTCGTGTAATTTTTTTAGGTCCTCAAATTTTTCTTTCGCTCATTTTCGCGACAAGTCGCCCTCTTTTAATCCTATTCAATAATCTCTTTTTTTCTCAATTTGTTCTAAAACATCATTTTCGATTTCGGTAATAGTTTTTTCTTGTTTAGTGCTTCACCACCAACCACCTTTACTATTATATTTATCCGTTTTCTTATCGTGCCGGTCAATATTTTCGTCATTTATCGCCTCTTGGTAAGTGGTGGCTCTGGCATAAGTAGTAATCCAAAAAAATCAATGAAAAAAGATAATTAGGAAAAGTATCCGCAAACAGTTTCTTAAAATTCTCAAAAAACCAACTAATTTATTTTTTAGGCTGGTGAAATTGGATTTTCCTTTATGGGACATACATTATAAAATTTCAGGGGCTAAGGACAAAATTTTGTTGTATCCTCACTGGTCGAACTCGGCCAACAAAGGAACGAATATTCTGGTTCCCACTGGTTCCTTGACAACTTTGACAATCTTTCTTTTTTTCTTTCCTTTATCTTTTATTTTTCTTTCTCTTTTTACTAAAACTGCGTAATTTTTGCTAAATTTTATTCAAGTATTATTTTGACGATGAAAATACCGACGAGTGGCTACTATCAAAGCCAAAACTATTTTTCCTTTTCCAACTTGGGGATCAGCATTAGGGTCGGCTTTTTTTACCGTAGCAATCACTAGATCGCCAATGCGACTATACCGCCGACTAGAGCCGCCCAAACAGCGAATTACCAATATTTTTTTGGCTCCGGAATTGTCTGCTACTCACAAAACTGATTCATTCTGCAACATATATTATTATATTTTTAAATGGTAACACAACCTCCTGTTTTAATTCCTCATCCACACCGGCTAAAACTCCCCAAAAATTACTGAATGACCTCACAGAAATCAAACAAGTCTCCAAATCAGATCTCTGGGCCTTCCTCTCCCAAGACCACACCTCCTTTTCGGTCCTTTCAGTCTCCACCAAACACATTGAATCCACCGATCGCATTAGCGTTACCTTATCCAAAAACTCGGCCCAATCTTTTTACTTAGGCAAGACTAAAAAAATTCCGGCCGAGGCCGGCATTCAACTTCCAAAAATCGCTGACGACTGCCTCCACGACGCCCAAAATTGTGTCTATTTCCAATTTTTCAACTCCAAGGAAAAAAAACTCTACACTCGCTTTTTAGACAAAATCGAAGCCAACTTTGAGGGTCGCGAAGCCACCCAGCCCGCCCTTTTCCTCACTCTCACTTTTAATACCACGCATGACAACTACCACTCCTGGACTACTAATTGAGAACCCTCGGACCCGTGCTGAAACACCCTTAACGGCAAGCAAAATTGATTAAAATATTGAGCCCAAAAGATTTTCAACGATCAAGAGGCTGAACCATCAAAAGTCCATATCCACCGAATTAAAGACAATGTGCAACAACACGCCATCGCCACCCGTTATCTGCAAATTTTCCTCCGTCGCATTCGTCGCTTATGAAAACTGCCCCACTGAAAATGATGTCTCATTGCCGAACTCCAAAAAAACGGAGTCTGACATTACCACTTTTTATCTACTCCTATCGTTCCTTACAGCCACAAATGCACTTTGGATAAAAATTTCACCTCCTGCTGAAATTGCCGGGCCTACATTAGCCAATTATGACCTTACGGCCGGGTTGAAAGCCGTTCTCCTGGCAAAAAAACTATCTCTAAATATCTCGCTAAATATTTATCCAAATCCTTTCATCTCCGCTCCCTCTATCAGCAGCATGGACTAAAAGAAAATCACAAAACTTATCGCTTTTTTAAAAATCTTTACGATTACGAACAAAAACCCGTGCTGCTAATTGGCAAACATAAATTAGACGCTGCCACGGGCCAACATTTACCTAAAAATCAGCAAATATTCCGTCGCTATGATTACCTAACGCAACAAACTACTTACTTCTATCGCACTAATGAAAAATTAGCCGGTCACGTTGCTAGCCCCATTTTAATCAAAAAAAATTATCGTCTCGGCACTCGCTCTTTGAATCCTCTCAATTTACTAAAATTAGCCAGCAAAGCCACTAAGAAAGAGGCTTACCTTTGAAAAAAACCACCCTCTAATCTAGTTCACGACGACTTCCAAGAATTCTTAATTACCCGTCTCCTCTTACTCTGTAAATCCGCTGAATTTACCCATATCCCTCTCGAACAGGACCAGGTCCCCAAAGAAGTCGGCCAATGTAACCAATTAATTTACACTCATTTTCAGACTAAACCGGTTTTACACTTCACTTTTTTACCCGAGCAAGCCTCGCTCGTGCGGCAATTTATCAACCAACTCGACACTTATGCACAAGAATATGATATGACAGAAAGCCAAGAATTTTGCTCTTATCCTATTTCGCACGACCAGAAGCACGAAATTATCCAACAAAGCGGCGGCACCTGCCCCTGCGACCCCATTCGCAGTCGTAATCAATATTTAGACAATTGACAACTTAACTACCCCTCCGATCAATGACGGAGAGCACCTGGCTAAGTTAGAGACGCTAACTAGCGGTTTTTTTCTAAAAAGTGGAATGTCCGCTGGAAATATATGAGCCTAATCAGAGAAGCAACCGTGCTTCGCTCTCCCGCTTGCGTGCTGACTAGGTGCTTCGCCGGGCCAGGCAAACGCAAGCATTTTTTATAATATCATGGTAAATAAAGTAAATAAATCAGCAAATAATATGATGCTCCAAGAATTATTGGAACAAGCCTACGGCAAAAAAAATGTGAAAGTAGTAAAGTGAAAATGAACCGATGAACAGTTAAATCAATTGAAAAAGCAAGACAAAAAAAGAAATGAGTTAGATTTAAGGAAAAAAATGAGAAAATACAACCGACTAATAGACAAATTTAATCGCAAAAACGATGAAGATAAGAGACAGGACATTTTGGATCAGATTGATTGACATCCGCCTTGAAATTTTTAGATTAAAAAATCACCGACAACAAAATTATGCTAATCACCATTTTACTCTCTTTTATTTTCGGAATAATTGCTGGTCTGCTATTGACTGTCGGCTCGTTACTTTACCTCGTCAAAGCCAAATGTCCCCAGTGTAAAAAATTGAAACCTTTTCGAGAAATAGCGGTCATTGATCCGAACATCCGAGCCATCAGCGGTAAGCAATGCCGACAATGCCAAAAATCCAAGTCTCAAATAACTCTCTAAACATGAATAAAGAACTTCAAATTAAAACCACCATCACTGACATAGAAACTAAATCTGATAAAAATTTCAACCCTTACTTCCGCCTCAGTTTATCTGGCTTATCGGGCCGCTATTTTTACGCATTCAGTTTCAATCTATCCGATTCCACTATCTCCACTTTAACCAACGCCCCTTATAATTTTATCAACCGCTCCGTTCTTATCACTTACGAGGAATTACCCAACAAAAATAGCCAAGGCACTTTTTCCAGCGTTAAGGACATTCAACTAATCAATTAAACATGGCTGTATACGAGAAATAAGGCTGTATACATTTTATTTAACTCCTCCTTAACCATGACATGAAAAAAAGAATATAACCAAGGACGACAACCCTATTTAACCAATAAGCAACGCCAACGCCGCCAAAAAATCAAAGACCAAACCGTTCAACAATCCCAAACTCAACTCAATAAATATTACCAAGCAAACAGCATTCAGGTCCTAATAACTTTTGCCGAATATACGGAATTAAGCAAAGGCCAAAGGTTATGATCTGATTTCTCCCAAACGCTCCATGATATCCAGCAAGGTGTCAGCAGCATTGTCGAAATTATGAAATTGCGAGAAATTACCGACACTTTTATTTCGGATTATTGAGACACCGCCCAAGGAAAAATCAAAGAGGGCGAACATTGAAACAGCCTAACCGACGACCAACAACGGCGTTTAATTAAATATTGAAGTCGGCAAAAAGCCCGGCAGAAGGAACAATTAGCCGCCACCTTGACTCAACAAATCCAAGACGCCAAGCAGTATGAAAAAGAAATTGAACTCGCTAAATATCACGAGGAACGCGGCAAAATTAAATGCGATTGCTATCAATGCCAAGAAAAAAAACAAATCCAAACCAAAATCAAAAAACAATTAGCCAAGGAGGAGGAACCCCAATGAGTAAAAGCCGACTGCGGCCATTGCTACGAACATAAAAAAGTGGATCCAGAGACGGGATTATGTAAAAAATGTGCGAAACAAGAGCAAAACGAATACGAGTAAAATATGAAAAAAAATAAATGTCTAATGATCGATTGCCTAAAATCCATTCTCCCAGCCGAATTATATTGCCTTTTCCACTTTCTCAAAAATCACCTTAATAACGGCCTAATCCCCTGTTCTTTTTGTTATCGCCGCCAAATCCCCACCAACAAGAATTATTACATCAAAAATCGTTATCAAACTAATTTTTGAAACCCAAAAACTCCTTTCCAATTTATTTGCTTCGCTTGCCTCTATGACTGGCGAGAATTATCAATTAGCCCGCACAAAAAGAAAACTTATTATGTCTATAAATATCGCTATTATAACAATGGAGGAAGCCCCAATCGTAAATAAAAATATAGCCCAAGAATACTAGCCTGTTATCAGATTAGCGATCGCTACTGCCTTTTATCAGCCCTTATTATATTATTATTAACTATTAAAAATAAAAATTATGAATTATAAATATTTAACTATTGCTCTTATTGCTGGCGTTCTCCTTGGTTACGTCCAAGATTACTGACAAAATAAGGAAGCAACCATCTCAGAATAAATTATGTTTGCTAAAATTAAAAAGTCGGTGGTGAAAAACCGTCCAGTAAAAGTCTTGAAACCTAAATCTGTCCGCACCAAAACCGAGCAATTAACTATTACAGAATCTCTAAAAAATCGAGTATTCCCGTATATCGTCAACGATTTTGCTTCGGCTCTTAAAACCTTAAAAGTTGGTGAAAACATTCGTTTCGGCAAATTAGGAGTTTTTAAGAAAACCAAGCGGATCGTGCAAGGCCGTGTCGGTTATCAATACAGCTTCAAGGCTCATTCATTATTAAAAAAATAGAATGGCCGCACTAAAAAAACGAGGCCGACCCCGCAAAACTGCCACTATAACTGCTAATTCAGTAAAGATAGAAAAACCCACCAACGGCCACTTAACCTTACGAGAAAGCAAACGCACCATCATTCTCAGTTGGGGCAAATATTCAATTACTTTGCTCTGCTTCACGGCTCTAGCAATTACTCTGATTCAAAAAATAAAATTTTAAAATGGAATTACAAAAAAAACATTTGCTAATCGTGATTGCTGTGGGTTGTCTGGTGCTTTATTGCTACGGATCGAATAATATCCCCCACACCGAATATTTGCCGCTGATTGGCAGCGGAGCTTATGCCTTAAATTTTTTAACTAATCTCACTAAATAAAAATTATGTCTTTTACTAAAAAAGAAAACCAAAACGAAAATAAAAATTTAATCCCACCCAATAGTGGATTTTTTGATTCCCTAGCGAAAATGCTGCCCGTTTTAACTCTAACCTTTGAACAATTTACCGGCAAATCCATTCCCCAAATGAGCGGCACCATGGGCGAGATGGCGGCGGCTTTAATCCAAATTCAGCAGACGCAACAAACTATTTTACAAAAGATCACCGACCTAGAAAAAAATTGTGCCGAACAATTTATCCACCAAGAACAGCAATTAACTTCCTTACAAAAAGTCAGTGCCTTAGTCAGCACGGAAAAAACCAAGTCCATTCATTTTGCCAGTCCCAATAAGAGCGAAATCATTAACGAATAATCATTATGTTTAACGATATCACAACTGCCATTAATAAATTACAGCCTGAATTAGCCGAAATCAAGAGCCTGTTACAAGAAATTAAAAAATTATTAGAACAAAATGCTAACAAACGAACAAATTAATCCTTATAAAGACACTTTGCTTCTCTACACGCTAACGGCCTCCATAATCTTAATTTATGCGGGCTTTACTTTGCTGTGAATTGACAAATTAAGAAATCCCAAAAAATAATCACTTATGTTTAAATCCAAGAATAATAACAATCAGAACGAAAATAACGAAAACGAAAAAGACAACCAAAATAATAACTCCTTGTGAGGTTGAATCAACGGCAAAGCCGGAAGCATTGCTATCGGTTTAGCCGCGGGTTATGCCCTTTATAAATTTGGTATCCTCCAAAAAGTATTGAAAGGCGTAGGCAATATGTTCCGCAAAAAAGATGAAGAACCCAAATCCTCTAATTCGCAACAAACTTCTATTTAACATGAATACTCCTCTAATCATTAATCCTAAATCCGTGAAATTGCTTTTATGACAAAATGTTTATCCGAGCAGTAAAGAAGTTTACTATACCTTGAAAATTGGCGATCAACGCTTTATTAGCACGACTCGCCAAGATAAACAAGGAGCAAATTATTGACGGTTCAGGGATTATAAGAAATTAAGCAAGACGGCACCGCAAGAAGCGACACCGGCAGAAACCACCGCTAATCCTCCTATTATTGACAATCATGTGCAACAAGCGTAAATCTATCAAAGTTTTTCCGTCTCCTACTCCCAAGGTCAAAAAGGTTAAAAATCCGGTCGCTTATTACCAATGCCTCCTCCACGAAATCCAGGCAGGATTGGCCGGTCGTCCGATAACCGAAATTTGTCGTAATTGTAAAATGAATAGCGTAAATTCAGCTCAGACCCACAATCAACGGATAAATAATTTGTTGAACGCCTATCGGCAAATTGGCGAGGCTTTGAGTGAGTTGCTGGTTCCTATCGTAGAATAATGTTCGGAATTAATTTACCCGATTGAAAAGGGACTTTACAAGAAAGTTTGCGGGATTATGTAAAATTGCCTTTGGAAACCAAGGCCCGAGAATTACAGGAACAATTGACTAAAAAAGTTGGGGAATTTCAAGCCCAACAAGTTGCTTGACAAAAAGCGGTGGTGGCTATTCTGCTAGCGAGTTTTTTGGTGGGAGTGGTAGTTTGGACTTGACCCGATAATCATGACTAAGCAAGAATTACAAAAAGAATTAAAAGAAAAAGTGAAAGAGGGAGTAAAACCCAGTGATATCAAGCGATTAAAACGCTCGCGATCGTTGGGTGATATTCCCGCGACCACCGATCCGCAATTAACCGCCTTAAAAGCCGAAAATGAGGAATTGAAAAAGAAAATTAGCGAATTAGAGAAACAGGAAATTTTTGTGGATGCTCCGGAAAATAATGCGGAAGAATTAAAGACACAGATTAGCGAGTTAGAAACGAAGTTGCTGGAAGCCCAAACGGAGTTGTCGGAGACCCAAAAGCAATTGGACCAAGCCAATGAAAGCCGTCTTAATGCTCTCAAAGATTTTGGTAAGCAGCAAGAACAAATTAAGCAATTAAAGCAAGAATTAGCGTCTACGGTTGAATATGACTCCGACCAAATTACTGATTTAGAAAAAAATAATCGGGAGTTAAAAAAAGAAAAAAGTCTGTTAGCCGAGCAATTGAAGTTGGCCACGCAAGATCTAAACAATTTTCAAAGAATAAATGAATTGCGACTAGGGACCAAAGAAGTTGGGACAGACTGATGAGAAAAACACGGACCCATTATTTCGCTGCTGGTTTTGGGGACTTTAATCGTTTTGCTTTCAAGTAAAAATAAACATCGCTAATTATCAGCAAAGTTGCTGGAAGCCAAGCGAGCAATGCGGGGAGTAAAAAATTAATTCTTTTTGAATCACTTTTATTTTTTATCATATATGGTTGCAATTTACCGACTCCCCGCTATTTTCTAAATAACAAACACACTAATTATGAACGACTTATTATTTTACACGCTAATAATAGCCTTACTGATTTATTTTTTGGTCTATTTGCCTAAAAAGAGATTAGCCGCCAAGACAACCATAGAAGCAAGCGCACAAACTGATTTAAAGGATAAGCAAATGATTAATCTTATTCAACAATGAGAACAAGTGGTCCAATGAGCAAAAGAGGAAGGTATTGATGTAAATAAGAAGTGAAATCTCCATTCGTTGAAAAAGAAATTGCAGCAAAAGATTGCTGACTTACAAGACCAGATTAGCCGTGAACCCATTAAGGTTAAATATTCACGGGGAACGCAAACTAACTCGGACGATGAATTAGAAAGCACGCTCGCTAATCTCATTAAAAATATTCAAGAACTCAATAATCAAATCAAATAATTATGACCCTAAAACAGAAAATAGAATTATTAAATAAAGAATTCACCACTCTCAAACAAAAAATCAATGCTAAATTACAGGCTAATCAGCAGACTATTACTCAAAAAGATCAGCAGTTAGCAGAAAGCAATCGCAATTTAGAAACCGCCTTAAAAGAGAATACTGAAAATGAAAAAGTATTGGAGCAATTGCTTAAAGAAATTAAGGAATTAACCGGACAAATAGGATAATATGTTGAGAGAGGAAATTTTGCGGAGTTGGAATGCTTATAAACAAAAAGTCTCGGGTAATAAAAAAAATCAATTAACTAACTCCGAAAGAGAATTTTTTGAATTATTATCCGGCAACTTAATGGATATAAATACTCCCAAAGAAGACATTTTGAAAGCGAATATGAGGGAATTAAAACACAAAAGGAACGCTTTAAATGACGAATATAACGAAATTTATCAAAAGTATGTCAATATGAGTTTTAGTGAAGATTATGGAAGTGTTTCTTTCCATCTCGACCTAACTTACATGGCTTATAGTAATATTAACCGAATATACGGCTATTTTGTTCAAGCCCTAGGAAATGTTGAGCCAGTTTTTTACTGTCGTTATTGTGAGTGTGACAATTGCGAAAAAGTGAGGCGAGATGGACCCTCTATTGAGGAGGTGGAGTAGAAAATAATTTGAAAAGTATTTTAAAGAATTATAAAAAATGCCAAAAAACAGAAAAAAGAAAATAAATGTCTCGGGTAATTTCACCACTGCCGAAGACTTAGTAAAAACCTTTTTAAAAGTAACAGGACCGCGACAAAAAGCCAAAGAAAAGAATGACCCTAAATTTGCTGGTGATGCTGGATACTGGAAAGGTGGCCGCTGTGAATGAGGAGGTTCGCATAAACTAGACGAAGACGCCGAAGTATTGGCTAACTTCTTTAACAGCATTGCCAATATTACTGATGACATTAACAATATTAAATTGTCGGCCAATGAGACAATATTTAGCAATAACAAGCAACAATTAATTGCTAAAATCCAAGGTCTTATTGGTAAATGTCGCATTACCTCTTCCACCTCTATCGGTAATATTTGTTGTATTTGAAATGATTTTTTTGGTAATTTCTTAAAAAAATTTTTAGACAATTTTTCGGTTAAACTTCAAAGGAACTTAACCGCCGTTGAAAAATTGGAACCCAAACATCAAAAAGAGATCTTGGATTTGGAAAAAGAGGCCCGCGAAGCCGAAAGTGCTTACAAAGAAAATTTGCAAAAAGCCGATAATGAGACTGATCCTGAAAAGAAAGCAGAATTCATTGTTCTAGCCAATAAAGCCGCCAAGAAAGCCGAAGAAATTAAGCGAAAAGTTAAAAATAATCCTATTGCTCAATTAGCCAATTTTAATTATTTAGATGATTTAAGAGCACTACAAGGTAATGTTCCGCCTAATGTTTGCCCCGACAGACAACCAGGCGGCAGAGGTTCGGGCAACAATAGCAACGGCGGAGGAAGCGGGAGCGGCCAAACGCCCAATCCCTTGGAAGACCCCAAAAGCTTTTTCGAGCAAAATAAGATGATGATAGTGGTTGCTCTGGGATTGGTCGGAATATTGCTCTACATTTTTCTCCAAAAAGACAGCGAAGATGATGAAGAAGCCAAGGAAGAAAAAAAGTTCATGCGACAAATGGCAATGATGAAAGCAATGAATAATAAAAATAGCGAGGAATAACATGAAAAAACAGCAACAACAATTATTAATCACCCTTTTACTCTGCGGCGTTGGCTATTATTTTTTGGTCTATTTGCCGGAAGAGGAAAATAAGAAAAAAACGGAAAGAGAAAAACGGCAAGCACCGCAAAAGTCAGCGGAGGAATTACAAAAAGAATCCGAAGAAGACGCCTGAGAAAAAGGACGGATTTGAGAATTGCCGACGCATAGTTGAGCCGATAGAATAGTAAATGGCAAAAAAAGTTCGCTGTTAGGCGAATATCAGAAATTTGCTAGTCTTTTCCCCGATGGCGATCGGAATGAAAAATTTTACTTTTCTCGGGCTGCTCCTTACACTGTTTATTTTCCACCATCACTACAAAGTTATTATGAAAAGGGTAAGGAATTAGAGTTGGAAGAATGTAAAAAATTGGAAGGAGAAAAAGAATTAATTTTATCAGACGAAATTAACTCATGAATCAAGCGAGCAGTAGAAAATCCAACTCGTGGGAATTATGAAAAAGGATTGGGTAATAATGCCTTATTCTATGGTGCTCCTGGCACGGGCAAGACAGAAACGATGAGAAATCTTTGCGTAAAATCCGACAAATATCCGTTAGTGGTTGTTGTAGGTTCTGACTTAACCCCCACCGAGTCCGACCGATCGGCCGAAATACTTCCTTTACACAAATTTGCTTACACGATTAGCGAATTAGAATGAAGCTTGGTTAAAGATTATGGACTTGAAAGAGAGGAAAACGGCGAAGTGCGTTATATTCTGTTTGTTGACGAAGCAAACCAGATTAGTAATAATTCGCTCATTTTTCAGTCTAACGGATTAAAATTTTTAAAAGACTGCTTGGAGGGCGTGGATAAAGACGAAAGCAGCGAAAATTTGTGAGTATTTGCCACCAACCACAGGGATCAAGTAGAAAAAGCCACTTTTCGCAAAGGCCGATTAAGCAATCCACTCGATTTTACTTGAAATTGAAAAGTATTCAAAGATTTTTGCGAAAATGCCGGTGTTGATTTGCCGGAAAGATGACAAGAAAAAGGTCAATTAACTCCGGAAGATGAAAAATGATTAGCCGAATTTAATATTGATGTCTTTAATCGTTATTTTTTAGGCAAAGATGATGATGTTGCTGAAAGAAAAGAATTCTGAAATCTATTTATTGAAAAAAATCCCGATGCTCGCTATATCCCTGAAAATAAGAAAGAAAATCAGGAAAACGATAACGATGATGACAGCGATAGCGAAGATGAAAAAGAAGTAGATATTGAAATAGGCGAGTTTTTAGAGTTTTTTTGGCACATCAAAGAAAAGTATTCAACTTCATTTGACGGAGTTTATGAAAGCGTCCAGAAACCAACCCTAGAAAAGGTTTTAGAAAGCAGTTTAAATAATCTGACTAGAATAATTAACGGCAAATTAGATGAAATAATAGAGCAATTGGAACCTGATGAGGACGATGGAGAAGAAAATATAATCGTTAAATTGCAAAGCGAAGTTGAATTATTGAAAGACAGAGTAAACGAATTAAGAAACAGATAAATTATGAATAAAAAAATCACAAAATTAGAGAAAAAAATAAGTTACGTTCAAGGTCTTATTGACGCCCAAAAATTAAAACTTGACAAATATCAAGCAACCTTATTAGCCCTAATTCAACAAATCAACGAAATAAAATCCAAACAAAATAATATAAAGAAATATCAAATAAATATGAATAACAAAATAAATAAAAACGGCCTAAAAGGCCTAAACATCAAATAATATGGCATTCTGAAAAGGAATTTGCACTTGTATCGGTTGTGTAGCAGCAGTAGGTATCTGTGTTGCCAGTGCGGGAGCAGCTACTCCTTTTGTAAGTGCGGCAGCAGCCCCTTGATTAATCGGAGGAGGTGCGGTCGGTGGTTACTTAATAGGTGATAAAGCCGATAAAGAATCAGCCGAAAGGGAAAAATTGATGATGCAGGACGGACGCTACAAAGACGCCAACCAAGAAGTAGACAAGCAAGCAAATCAAAATAACCAAACAAAGAATATAATAGAGGACATTGTCGCCAAGTTAAATGGTAACAAACCACGACAATCACACGAAACCGACGAACACTTGAAGCAGCAGTTAGCGATCGCCCAAAATAGTTTAAAAGATGGTGAAAGCAGATTACAAAGATTAAGAGGTGATGTTGACAAATTGAGAAAAGAACTGGGTGGTGGTGGAAATTTACTGAGTCTTTTGGGTCTGGATAAATTATCTTTTGCTGATAAAGTGATAATTGCTGGCGGTATAGTGTTGGTGATATTTTTGTTGAAGAGATAACAAATAATAATCCGCCGTTTAGAACATTAAAGCAAGGAGAATATTTTTTTTAAAATTACTATATGGCTAGACCGAAAAAGGATGTTTTTTGTATTTCTTGCAAAAAAAAAAAATAGAAAAGGGAGAAAAGTATGAAAATATTCGTCGGAGGGAAGAAGACGGTTCCAAAGGAATAGATTATTGAAAAGGCGATAATTATTGCTTCCCTTGTTATGAAAATAGAGAGCAAGAACGCAAAGAAGCGAAAGAAAGAATCAAAGAACAAAGAGAAAAAGCACAAGAAAAATCAAAACAAGAAGCATTGGATAAATTCGAAATTCTAAGTAATGAATGCTTTCAAAAAACATTTGAATTAGGTCTTAAAGCGAATGTTGAGAATGAGGAACTTTCGGCAGATGATTACAAAGAGATTAAGAAATTTTTTAAAAAACTAAACCGAGCAGAAAAGCAAAAAGAATTAGATGACCCGCTAATTAAGGAAGAAATAAAAAGTTTACAAAATTCCTTAAAAGAATTGGAAGAACACGCATCTCCTCGCACCCAAGACCAAGCCAGCAGTGATAAAAGCCGCCAAAGAAAAGCCAAAAAAAAATGTCGCCACGAACAAATAGAACCTTACGAGGATGACCTCAATAATTATTATTGTTCTTATTGTTGAGATGATGAATCGCCAGAGTTTTTACAAGTCTTAAAGAAAAAAGGCATTAATCCGCCGTCCAAGAATAACGACGACAATAAAAATAACCAAAAAAAAGAACAGCAAAAAACCGAATTACAACAAACCATCACCAATCTAGAAAACAAATCTAATCGCACCCCCGAAGAAGAAGAGGATTTGAAAAAGAAAAAAAAGAATTGACCGATCTAGAAAATGACGAGAAAAATAAGTCCGAACAAAAAAAACCGTCCACCAATTATACTCCTTGAATAGTCGGTGGTGGTTGTTTACTATTAGCGATGATTATTTTTTTAGTTTGGCAATCCAAAAAAGAGAAATAACCGGTGAAAAATTATAATATAGTAAAAATTACACCTCTTTAATATTTATTTATCCCTTATGAATAAATGCAATATCTTGTTTAATCTTATTAGACAGTTACTTAGCTTTCCCAATGTCTTCCTGACTACAATTAATTTCACTTATTTCAGCGGTGAGTTGAAACTTTTTTTCTTTTTTGCTGATGCTGGCCCGAGAAAGAAATAATTTAATCCAAGGTTTTCATCTTATCTATTTTTTTAATAATTCACCGAAAGCATCCTTGTCTCAGGTTTCTGTATCATTTTCATCTGGTAATAATCCTTCTTCTAAGAGCAAAATCTCCCTCTAATTTTTGAATAGTTTTTTTAATTGTTGAGTAGTTATTTCTTTTACTGATTTATTGTTGGTGTATTTTCAGTTTAGATTCTCATTCTTGGCTTCTTTGGTGTTGGCAAATCCCGCTGGGGTTCTTGTTCGGAACATGCTCGGTCGCAATTTCATTTCTTCTGGGCTCAGTATTATTTTTTTTGGAGCATTAAAACCGGGGGTTGTGTTCTAAATAGAAATAAAAAAAATAATAAATAAGTTTTGATCGCTACTTGGTATTGTTAATATGTAAAAATTCATTAATTTGCTCCGGTAGTTCAGTGGATAGAGCACTCGTTTCCTAAACAAGTTGTCGGAGGTTCGAATCCTTCCCGGAGCACCAATCAATAGTAAAATTAAATTAATATATAAGAATTGTCCGAAGATAGTAATTGTTATAAATTTGGTTTAATTAGCACCTTGCGTGGCTACGAAAAAAAGGGAATTAGGCATCGCAATGTTAGTAAGAACGCTTTGGAAAAAGTTTTAGTTAATCTTGGCATCCAAACCGCTTGAGAAAAATATTTGACGATTGTCGAACATAATCTAAAAACAGCAAAGTTTACCCTTAATAACCTTCCTGCACAAGCGGTCCATTCCCGAATTACTTCTGGTCTATTGCCCTTAGCCACTTTAAAAAGTTTCGTTCAAGAGAAAATGAATTATGAATTGGTGCTACGAGAGGAAAAATTTTTACATTTTTGTCAAGAAATAAAAGAGATTCTGGAAAAGAAAAAAATTACCGTTTCCATGCACTCATCCCAATTTTTTAGTTTGGCTTCTGATGACAAGACGATAAGGGAAAATTCCCAAGCTGAGTTAATTTATTATGCGAACATTTTATCATTAATAGCAAAAGAATTTATTATCACTATCCACCTTAATTCCAAATGGGAATTGGTTGAGCAACTGGGAGAAGAAAAATATTTGCAATGAGTAGCGGAAGAAGTTCGAAAATTACCTGCTAATGTTCTGGCAAAAATTAGCCTAAAAAACGAAGCCCGTGGTTTCTGAAATTCGGCTAATCTCTACAAATTTCACCACTATTGCCAAGAAAAATATCAGATTTTTTTGCCGCTGGCTTGGGATAACGCTCATGAAGTGGCTAATCCTTCACGAATTAGTGAAAATCGGGAAAATTGAGAGTGGTTTAACGATACGTGAAAGAACCGGACGCCTCTTTTCTATTGGTCGGAAAGTTGCGGTCCCAACAAACTCGGTCATTGCGACTATTTTCACCATAAAACCCTCCCGCCGAGTTCAATTCCCATTTGAGTATGTGAAATTAAAATGAGAGAATTGGCTTTGCAGGAATTATTAGAAAGTCAAAAAAATAATATAGAGGAGGCAACATGAAAAAAAGAACGATAATTATTTTATCAATTATACTTGCTTTGCTGATAGGGGTAGGAATAGCGATTTGAAAATTAATTTACAGGTATATCAATTTTTATTTTTAAAAAGATGAAATTAATTGTTGGTCTTGGTAATCCGGGTAAAGAATATGAAAATACTCGGCATAATTTAGGCTTTATAATTGTTGATAGATTGGTCCAAAAATTAAATGTTGAATTAAGTAAAAAAAAGTTTAATGGTTTATATTGCCGAACCAGCGAATATATTCTCCTCCAACCCCAAAATTATATGAATAATTCAGGAGAATGTATTAGGGCTTTTTTAAATTATTTTCGGATACCAGTAGACAATTTGTTGGTAATTTATGACGATATTGCCTTGCCATTAGGAAAGTTTCGTTATCGTAGCCAAGGTTCGGCAGGCGGACACAATGGAGTAAAAGATATTATTGAAGTATTGGGAAGTAGGGATTTTAAAAGGTTGAGAGTTGGAATTGGCTATGACAAAAATTTCCTGATTAGAAATTGAGTTTTACAAAATTTTCAGTCCGCAGAAAAAGAAGAAATAAAGAAAATTATTCCAGATTTACTGACCGGTTTACAAGAATGAATAGAAGAAAATAATTTTGAAAAAGTGATGGGTAAATTTAATAGTAAATAAATCCTCTTGTTGTTTCCAAAATAATATTCTGGCTGCTTTTTTTTTGCTATTTTCGGCTAAAAATTATTTATGCCTAAAAAAACAGATTATCTAAGTTGACCCGAATATTTTATCACAATAGCTCACGTTTGTGCTATGCGGAGTAAAGACCCCAACACCCAGGTAGGAGCAGTAATAGTTAATCAGAATAAGGAAATTGTTGCTACTGGTTATAATGGTTTGCCGTGGGGCTGCAATGACGATGATTACCCATGGGAAAATGACCACAAAAACTGACTAGAAACCAAATATCCGTATGTCGTTCATGCTGAGGCTAACGCTATAATTCATGCTCGCCAAAATTGTCGGGGTTTTTCGCTGTATACCACTCTTTTTCCCTGCTGCGAATGTGCTAAATTGATTATTCAAGCAGGAATAAAGCATATTTTTTACTCTCATGATAAATATAATGAAAAGGAAGAAGTAATGGCAGCAAAAAGAATGTTAAAAGATGCGGGGGTTGAATATGGACTGGTTGCGGCCCCGAAGATAGTTTTTGAGAGATAAAAAAATTTCTTGTGTGTTAAGAGCAAAAATGCATTAACTAAAAAAATAACCAGGATTGGTATTGAGAACCTTAATTATATCCTCTTTTTTTTTGAGTAATTGGAGAATCTTTTCATCAATGGTTCCCTGGCAAATAAGGTCAATTACTAAACGCACCCGACCAGGTTCAGAATTAGTGGTAGGCAAGAAACGGGCTTCGGCTTGTTCGTTATCAGCCGGAGAATAACTGCGGTCGGCAAAAATGATGGTTTCGGCTCGGCTCAGATTCAGTCCCATGCCTGCACTTTGGATATTACAGAGTAAAATATCGAGCGTGCCATTTTGAAATTTGTTAATGTTTTCTTCTCTTTCCTGAAAATTAGTTTTGCCAATAATAAGTCCAGTGGTTATTTTTTTCTCGGCTAAGGCAGCGGCCAAGGGCTCCAAAAAAGTTTCGCTGCGAGTGGAAAAAATGATTATATTTTGTCCTTTTCTTTCTTTCAGAAAATCAACCAGATAATTGATTTTACTGCCTGAACCAGGCAAACTCAAGGCCGGCGGATAGAGAGTTAGCGTTTTTAAATTGGCTAATACTTCGAGCGGCTGATAATCTTTTCATTTTTCCCGCCATTGGGAATAGACAAGTTGGTGTTTTTCTTCCATCAACAAATATTCTTTTTGGTAAATTACGGGTGGTAGTCAGGGAAGGACCTCTTTTTGGCGGCGGTTGACCGAAAGTTGGCTGATTTTTTCTTGTAATTCCCGGCGTGCTTGCTCGTTCTTAAAATCTTGGACTCGAAAAATTTTGTAGACTTTTTTGCCTTTCCGAATTTCTGATTTATAAATATAAAAATATTGTTCGGCAAATCTTCAATAAGAAGAATAGGTTTCTGGATAAAGAAATTTGAGAATACCAAATATATCCGCGGAGCGATTAACCACCGGAGTGCCAGTAAGAGCCATTTTGTAGGGGGTGTCTTTGAGTGCGTAAATAATACTTCTACTTTGCTGAGATTGATAGTTGCGGAGAAAATGGGCTTCATCAATAATGACACAAAAATTTTTATCTTTTTGTTTTTTCTTTATTTTTTTAAATTGAGAGTTGTCAATTTTGAAGGTATCTTTCGAAACAATGATAATTAATTCTGGTTCGCTGAGTAATTTCTGGTAAAAATCATAACGCGATTTTTTGTCTAAATAAGTAATAATATAGGCTGGTTTTTTCAACCATTCCTCCACCGATTTTTGTCATTGTTGTTGTAAAACGCTGGGCGTAATAATTAGCAAACTATTAACGGGTCATTGCTGAAAGGTCATTAAGGAAATCGGTGTTTTGCCGGTTCGCATTTCACTAAAAATTGCTACACTTTTTAACCGGCTGAGAAATTTGACATCCGCTAGTTGGTAATCACGAAGAGAGGGGAATTTGATGTCAATTGTCGGAACATTAGTAATGGTCGCTGAAAAATCATAATTAGGGACTATTTTTTGTAATTTTTGGCCGTTAAGGGCATTAGCCGGCAGAGAATAATGCTTAAATTTATTTTCTTGATTAGCACCTAAACAAAAGGCCCAGGAATAAGTGGTTTTGAAAATAATTTTTTGCGAATTCGTTTCGACAATTTCTACTTCGGTTTTTTTCATTAATTTTTTGGTCAAACTATTATAAAAAGTTTTTTTAAGCTTAATACCAAAAATTAATTTAGAAATTAGTAAGAGTAATAATTATTTTATTGTTTAAACCGACTAATTTATGATATTTATTGTATTCATTACCAGCGTATTCAAGAGAATTTTTTTCTAGGGGAATATTTTCGGCTCCCTCAATGTAGCAAAGTCTTTGGTAATTTAAGTAACTGAATTTAGGAAATAAAGCCAAGGCGGGGTGATTGTCGGGAATGAGAAGTTGGTAAAATTTCTCTTTTTCTTTTCCTAGAAAATAAAAATGGCGACCGAGTTTTGCAGCGCTCTTATAAGTTTCAAATGGGCCATAAAATAGTTTAGGGTTATTATTTATTTTTTCCAATGCTTTTTTAAAAGGCAGAGTCTCTTTTTCGACCTTTGAATTTCTTATGCGGCAAATTAAATCGGCTATTTCTAGGTGGTCTTGGGGTTCCAAATCACTTTTTCAAATGTTACTCGCTTCCCTGTCCGGTCAACTAAATTCTCTCTCATATTGTTTCTGAGACCAGCCGTGTTTCTTTATAAACTCCTTTTTGTCCTTGTCTCATTTTTCTTTTCTTTGCTGATAGTGGCGGTTAAAATTTTCTTTTAATTCCTCGTTTAATTTTTCGTTTTCCTTGGTATATATTGTAATATCCCCATCTTCAAATAACTGATAATCCAAAAAATATTTTTTTAAGCGGCTTTCATTGGTCAAAGCGTCTTGTAAATCGTCTTTAATGACCCGAGCCAGAGTTTTTGCGGAGTAGTTATTATTGGGGACGGGTGGGGGAGAAAAAGGACTATCTGTTGGCTGCTCCGGTGGAATTTCCTCATTCTTGTTGGCTGGCGGAGCGGAAATTGGCTTGGTATTCACGGTTTTGTCGGGCCTTTTTGGAATTAACGAAAAAATTACCCCTATACTAACTAACAAGACAATTAGTAAAATAATTTTTTTTTTTTTTTTTTTTTTTGAACTCCATGTTTATTATAAATTATCTATTTTTATAATATTGTGCTTGTTACAAATTAATCACCAAATTATGTTTTTCCAGATTTTCTAATCGCTGAATATGATTAATATTTAATATTTTAGCCAACTCCTCTTTCCAACTGCTAGTAATTTTTTTCTTTTCTCGACGATAAGCAATAATCTTTTGAGCCACTTTTTCTCCAATTCCAGCAATGGCCGTAAAAGGAAAATAGATAGTATTGTTCTCGATTTTGAAGTCTTTGATTTCAGAGTTATTAAAATCTAAACCCCGGGCAAATTTTAAGCCTTTTATTTCCATTTCTAAAACTACTTTTAAAGTAAATAATAAATCCTTTTCTTTGGCTGTCAATTTTCAAGTTCGGCCATTTTTTCGTAAACTTTCAATCAACTTTTTGTCTCCTGAATTATTTATTTTTTCCTGAATGTTGGCTAAAATATTATCAATATCCATTTTGGCTAAAATGCCTCCGGAAATTTTTGGGTCCCGGGCCGTTTTCTCCATCCGCTTCTTTTCTTTATTAAGTTCTTCGAAAACTTTAATAATTGATAATAGTTCCTTTTCGCTATTTTTGTAACTAGACAAACTGCCGAGTAGACCGTCTAAACGAAAAGTAATAGCAACTGGATCCAAAGTCATTAATCAAATGTCGTAGACGGCAGTGTGATAGGTTAAAAGAACCGAATAAAATTCTTGGGGGTGATAGACCTTATAATAGGCTGTGCGTCAGGCCGTCATGGTATAAGCGATAGCATGGGGCTTGGGGAAAATATACTTTATTTTGCTTAATATGGAAAAATACAATTTGCCTTCTTGGTCGCTCAATTTATTTTTCATTTTTTCTTTGATATCCACAGGCAATTTCTCTCATTTGCCTTTGCGAATATACTCGGTAGCAATAAAAGCATCTTTATTTTCTACGCCTCAGGAGACCAAAAAATTTCAAATATCTTCCCGACAGGCGATTAATTGGTCGAGAGATAATTGACCGCTCTTGTAAATGGCGTGCTGGTTTTGAGTTCAAACATTCGTTCCGTGTGAGAAGCCAGAGATTTGGACCAATTGGGAAAATTTAGTGGGTTTGAGAGGAGTTAACAAATTTCTTTTGACAAAATCGGTGCCAAATTCGGGTATTCCCAAAGTATCAGCACTGGTGAATAATGACATTATTTTTTCATCATGAAAAGAAATTTTGCTGGGGTCAACACCAGTCAATTGAAATAATTTTTGTAGAACGGTCGGTTCGTCGTGGCCCAAAATATCAACTTTGAGAAATATTTCCGACAAAAAACTATACTCAAAATGAGTCGTCATTCATTCAGACTGGCGGTTATCGGCTGGATAATTCAAGGGAGTATATTTTTGGATGTCCGTGTCTGGCAAAGTAATCAAGAGACCACCCGGATGTTGGCCGGTAGTGCGTTTTATGCCCTTTAGTTCAGCAATAATTTCTTCACGAGGTTTCTCTTTTTCAGCCCGCAATTCTTCCCATAATTTTTTGATTTCCTCGTCCTTTTCGGCAATTCTTTTTTTAATGTTTTCAAGTGATTCAACTTCCATATATTTTTAAGTGGAGGCACTTCAGTCTTTTTTGCACTAACCTACAATTTATTTTATACACAAATTTTAATCTCATAAATATGTTCATTTTAAAAACTTCATTATAAATTATATGGCTTTATGTTCCATCTTAAAACTAATTTTCAACCTTGTGGCGACCAGCCTCGGGCTATTAAAAAAATCGTTGCTGGTATCAATCAAGGGCAAAAAGAACAAGTGCTATTAGGGGCCACCGGCACCGGCAAAACTTTTACCATGGCAAATGTTATCCAACAAACCCAAAAACCTACGCTAATTTTGGCTCATAACAAAACCCTTGCCATGCAAATTTATCAAGAAATGCAAGGATTTTTTCCCCACAATAAGGTGGAATATTATGTTTCTTACTTTGATTATTACCAACCCGAAGCCTACAAGCCAGCAAGTGATATTTATATTGGCAAAAAAGTTCAGCGTAATGCCAGTATTGCCAAGATGAGAATGAAAACCCTAAATGCTTTAATTACTGACAAAAAAGTGATTGTAGTGGCATCCGTAGCCGCCATTTATGGTTGTTTTAATCCCACTTCTTATCGAAAAGTTGTCGTTCATTTGGAAAAAGGACAGCCAATAAAAATTAATTGAATTAGAGAAAAATTGCTCCATTTAGGATACAAGGAGGAGAAAAAAATTAATCCCGGCCATTGTCAAATAGAAACCGAGAAAATTACTTTTATGTTGAGTTGGGAAGAAAATCATTATTTTCAGATAGAAATCAGGGAGGGAAAAATCCAAAATATTAAAAAGAGGAATAAGACCACTGGTGAAAAAATGGCCGAATTAGCAGAAATATCCATTCCTCCCAGTCAGGATTATGTGGGCGAGGAAGGTGAAGAACTGACCGAAATTTTGGCAGAAATTGAGAAAGAATTGACCACTCAAAAAGAGCATTTTTACCAAGAAGGAAAATTTTTACCAGCCGAAAGGTTGGAAAAAAGAGTTCAGGAGGACCTACTTAATTTGCGAGAAATGGGATTTTGCCCCGGCATTGAAAATTACGCACGTTATTTTGACGGCCGAAAAACGGGCGAAACCCCTTTTGTTCTACTGGATTACTTTCCGGATGATTTTTTGACCATTATTGATGAATCCCACATTACCATTCCTCAAATCAAGGCCATGTATAACACGGATCGGTGTCGCAAAGAAACCTTAGTAAAATATGGCTTTCGTTTGCCTTCTGCTTTGGATAACCGACCCCTCAATCAAGAGGAATTTTTTGCCAAAATTAATTATGCTCTTTATGTTTCGGCCACTCCCGGCAATTTCGAATTAGCCAAAGTAAATTATCGGCCAGTTGAGCAAATTATCCGTCCGACCGGCTTGCTGGACCCCCAGATAGAAGTAAGAACCACCCGTAACCAAATTGCCGATATCATAGAAGAAATTAAAGACAAGAGCCTCCGCGGAGAAAAAGTTCTTATTTATGCCTTAACCATTGCCATGTCCGAAGATATTGCTAATTACTTACAAGAAAGAGAAATACGAGTGGTCTATCTCCACAGTCGTTTAGAAATATTTGAAAGATATCAAACCATTACCAGTTTACGACGAGGAGTTTATGACGTAATTGTAGGGATTAACCTCCTCAAAGAAGGAATAGATTTGCCGGAAGTCTCGTTGGTCTGTATTTTGGATGCCGACAAACCCGGATTTTTGCGGGATACTCGCTCGCTGATTCAAATAATTGGTCGGGCTTCCCGTAATAGTAATGGCAGAGTGATTTTATATGCTGATAAAATTACGGAAAATATGCTTGGTGCCATTGAGGAAACTAATCGCCGACGGCAAATCCAAAAGGAATACAATAAGCAGAATGATATCATCCCCCAAACGGTAGAAAAACCGGTTAAAGATATTGCTTTGGACCCACTAATAGCCCTTTTGGTAGAAAAAGCCCAAAAAGGAGAGATGAAGGAGAGAGAAGTGATTAAACTAGTCAAATCTCTTGGAAAAAGCATGAAGGAGGCCATTCGAGCTCTTACTCCTAACTCTCTTGCCCAAGCCGCGGCTTTTCGTGATGCTCTTATCGACTTAAAAAAAGGAGATTTTAGTGGCCATATTTTATCATTATTAAATAAGTTTCTGACTCCTAAACTAAAAAAAGCTAGGGAAAAGGTAAACCAAAAAAATAGTTATGAAAAAACCGAACTGCAAGGAAAAATTCGATCAAATGGTAATCTTTCATAGCACTATTTGGGGTTTGATACGAAAATTAATTTATATGCTATATGAATAAAAAATCCGAAAAAGAATCATTGAAACAAAAAGAAATTAAATCCAAAACCGACCCAAAAAAAACCGATACGAAAGCCTCCGTCTCCTCAGAGCCAAAAAAAAACGCCTCTGGGGAAAATGAAAACCCAGAATTAAAAAAACTGACCGCCGAGATTGACAATTTAAAAAAAGACAAATTAGAATTGGCGGCCGAATTGAAAAATGAACGGCAAAATTGACAACGCCAAATGGAACAAGTATACAAGTATAGTAATAAAAAATTACTTAACTGAGTGCTGGCTTTTCTGGTTGATTTAGAGGAAAAAGCCCTCTCGGCCATGCGCGCTGACCCGGAAAGTTCGGTTAAAACTCATTTGCTAGGAATTGAAATGTTGCGGAATATCTTGTGAAAAAATTTGGAAAACGAAGGAATTACTGAGATAAAAATTGTGGTTGGCCAGGATAAATGAAGCAGCCGTCTCCACGAACTAGTAGAGGAGATAGAAAATGATAATTTACCGGCTGGGACGGTTGTTAAAGTGGTGGGCAAAGGATATTTGTTGGCTGACCAAGTTCTCCGACCTGCTAAAGTAATAATCAGCAAAAAAAAAGAGCAAATGGTTTAATCCTATTTTTCTGACTAAAAAACAAACTGTTCCGACCGAAGCAATTATTATCCTAAAAATATGAATAAAGAAAAAGAAATTATTGAACGATTTACCAAAAATCTTAATAAGGAGACCAAGGTCAATGAATTAGCCGTAATTGGTCGGGAGAGAGAAATTAAACAATTAATTTATATTTTGTCGCGCATGATGAAAAATAATCCCTTACTGATTGGTTATCCGGGAGTAGGAAAAACCGCTTTAGTTGAAGGTTTGGTCCAAAGAATCAAGCAAGAGAGAGTACCCGACTATTTACGTGGTAAGACTGTCTATCAATTAGATATGATGTCCTTAATGGCTGGAACCAAATTTCAAGGAGAATTAGAAGAAAGATTAAAAATAATTTTCAATTTCATGGCTCAGCCAGAAAATAATGCTATCCTTTTTATTGATGAAATCCATTTAATTGTGGGTGCTGGTCGTAGTCAGGGTGCTTTGGATATTTCTAATCTTCTCAAACCGCTGCTTTCTCGGGGTGAAATCCAGTGCATCGGAGCCACCACCCAAGAAGAATACCACCAGTATATCGAAAAAGATGGGGCCTTAGCGCGTCGTTTTAGCAACATATTAGTCACTGAGCCAAGCCATGAGAACACATTAAGGATTTTACAAGGTATTCGCAATTATTTTGAAATTTATTACGAATTGAAGATTTATGACGACGCCTTGCTAGCTACCGTCAACTTTTCTCAACGTTATCTCACTACTACCTATTTGCCGGACAAAGCGATTAATTTACTGGATGAAACTTGTGGGCGAGTCCGCAGCGAAATGTGATACGAACCAGAAGTGATTGAGAAAACTCGGCTAAAATTAAGAGAATTAGAAATTAAAAAAACTGCTCTGGAAAAAGAAAAGGGCCAGGAAATTGAAGTCTTTAACCTCGAGCAGGAAACTAAAAAACAGCGAACGAAACTAGACGAGCTTCTAGAATTAGACCGCCAAGAAAACCAAATAATTCAAGAATTGAATTGAGCCAAGAAAGAATTAGCCCAAGCCGAATGAGAATTGGTTATTTATCAGCAAAAAGAAATTGACCTCACCAAGGCGGCCGAATTAAGATATTCAACTATTCCAACTAACCAAGCCAAAGTCAGAGAATTAGAGTCCCGTGCTCGCAGTAATGTATTAAGAAAATATTTTATCAATCGCGAAGACATTGCGTTAACTATCGCTCAGAAATATGATTTGCCAATTGGCAAAATCTTGGATAGCGAGCAGCAAAAATTGCTTTTCTTGTCGGCTATTCTCCAACAAAGAGTAAAAGGCCAAAATGCGGCTTTACGAACCGTTAGCGAAGCCATTTTTCGGGCCCGTGCGGGGGTTCAGGACCCTAATCGCCCCTTAGCCTCTTTTCTTTTCGTAGGTCCAACCGGAGTAGGCAAAACCGAAGTGGCTTTGACAATTGCCGAACAACTTTTCGACCAAAAAAAAAATCTCATTCGTTTGGATATGACCGAATTTTCTGAGCCGCATTCAATTAGTAAATTAATCGGTTCTCCTCCGGGCTATATTGGTTTTGAAGATAAACCCCGTCTAGAAATTGTGCGAGAAAAAATGCATAGCGTCGTGCTCTTTGACGAAATAGAAAAGGCTCATCCCGAAGTTATTAACATTCTTTTACAGATACTAGATAACGGATTTCTGACTTTGGCTAATGGTCGGGAAGTTAACTTCCGCAACACGATTATCATTTTGACAACTAATTTAGGTTCGGAATTATATTTTGAAAATAAGGAAATGAAAGAGATAAAAGAGGAATTAAATGCTGAACTAAAAAATCATTTTCGTCCGGAATTTCTTAATCGGCTTGATGAAATAATTTTCTTCAATTTTTTAAGCAGAAAGGTTGTTAAGGAAATTATTAGCAAAGAATTACAATTTTTTATCCAACGAATCGCGTCGGAGAAAAATATTAAATTGCGATATAGCGAGGAAGTGGTGGAAAAAATTCTGAATGAGGCTTACTCGATTGAGTATGGGGCTCGGCCAATTAAGCACTATATTGAAAAAAAAATCGGCACCTTGATTGGACGAGGCATTGTCTCACAATTTCTTCATAGGGGTGGCAATTACACTCTTAATTTAGAAGAAGGGACTGAGGAAATTAAAATGACTGTCCTGCCAGCCTTAGAGCAGAAAAAAAATAATTTGTTGGGGGAAAAATAAACCGGATATTTTACCGAAGGTTAAAAATAATATAATATTTTGCCGTGGATGAAAATTAAAATATATAATACAATTACATTATATAGCAAACAACAAAAATCTCATGACTAAAGCCCAAATTTGATTAAATAATACCATTCCTATTTCACAGCGAGCCAATCTACAAAAATTACATATTTTTCCGGACACTCTTCAAAATAATATCATCCATCAAGAATATTATCAAAATGAGGAAAGTTGTTATTATCTGCCAGTGGCCGATAGTTTAACCGGAACCTTGGATTTATCCTCATTTCCTCGTTTGCGAAAGTTAACAATCAACCAGCAATTTATTAATCGTTTGATTTTGACTGGCTGCCAACAGTTAAGAGAACTAGATGCTGACGACAACTTACTGAGAAAGGTAATTTTGCCGCTCCGAGCCCATCGCTTAAAAAGTATTCGTCTAAACGACAATAATTTCTGGGCTCGAGATTTGTCTGTCTTTGCTTGCTTTCCTCGGCTAAAATGTTTATTTTTGGGAACTAGTGATGAAAATAGAATAAGGTGAAACATTTATAATCGTTGAAATGGCTCTTTGTATCAAATTAGAAACTTAAAATTGGAAGAATTGGATATTAATGCTACTGATATTAATGGGGGTTTAGAATATTTAAATACTGAAAAATTATTCGGTTTTACTTTTGGCAATTGCGGTCGGACAGGGGCCAGAGTGGATGATTTGAAAGATGCTTTAACTGATTTTCTCGAATTACAAGAAGGTGAAACTATGGAAGACTGAGCCGTAGAAGGGACTTTTTTTACTGATAATTCTTTTGAAAATAATTTAGATAAAGTGGAAGATATTCGGTTATGGCAACAAGAACAAAGACAACAATTAGCCCAAATCCAAGTAAATTCCAACCACAGAAATAATTAAAGTGAAAGTTATTATGTTTAAAGGAGTTAAAAAAGAATTTCAGGATTGACTTGGAAGATTTAATCAAAAATCTGATAAATTTATTTTTTCTTTCAGCGATTTAGAACTAGTAGAAATAAATGGCAAGAGAAGAAAATGCCGCATACTTTCTAACGAATTAATCGAGAAATTAAGAGAAATATATTCAGAGGGTAACAACGGTTATAATCCGCCTATAAAATTTATTGATTTTGAATTAGACAGTAAAGAAGACTCAAAATTTTTTGAAATTGGTTTTTATGCTGATAATTACCATTATTGACTATCATTAGAAAAAAAACTTCTGCAAGAAGACGCAAAAATTTCTTCGGATGGAGTATTATGGGTTAATTTCGTTATTAAAACAACTACTGACCCCGCACTTCACATCAGTGATTTTTCGCTATTTTTTTACCAAGAAAAAGCCAATGAAACCAAATACGTCCGCCCTTATGCCCTCGGTCAAATCAATTTAATTATCAAAAAGGGCAATATTGACTTAACTACTTTAGCAGATTCCGGACTTTTCCTAAACGAAAGTTATATGAGTGCTAGGCCCCATGACTGCTTGGCCTGTTGAGACATTGACCCCAACACAACACCAATAGCCAAGTATTATGAAACTCACATTAATAAATGTTTATGAAGACCCGACCGCATTAATGAGTTCGAGAAAAAGCAAGTAGAATTAATTGCTAGAATAATTAATCAATTCGACAATTACAAAAACTCAGTCATCCAAAAAATCATTCACCAAGCCAATAGCCAAAGCATTACTGAAACAGAATTAAACAATAACCGTCCCAACTGACAAAATCACCTCCGTTCTTTGAAAAATAGAAAAGACATTACTGATTACCAAACTAAACAATTAGAAAAAGATATTGAAAATTTGGTGTCTGCCAAAAAGAAAAATGAGGAAGAACGCCAACAAGCCGAAGCCGAGGCTCGTGAAAACGCCAAAAAAGAGGAAGAAAGACTAAAAAAAGAACAAGAGGAGAAAGAGAAAAAAGAAGCCGAAGAAAAGGAAAAAAAGGAACGGGAAGAAGAACAAGAAAATAAAAGACGAGCGGAAGAAGAAGCCAGGCAGCAGGAATTAAACCAGAAAAGAGATAGTTTTATTGCTGAAATCACCACTGCTCTCAATCAAGAACCCAAACTTACTAATAACGAGTTAAGTCCGCAGTATCAAAATTGAGAAGAACAAATAAGCGTAATGACCGATATTCAGCAAATTACTAATCTCCAAGATAGACTATTAGCCGATATCCAGGCTCGCCGAAAAGATAAAAAAACGGCTGAGGAAATAAAAGAAAATCTCAAAAAGGCCAAAACCGGAACCCAGGAGGAAAAACAACAAGCCTGAGAAAATTTAGAAAAAGAGGAAAAAGAAAAGAGTTATAACGACAACAAAGAGGAAACCGACGAATTAAAAAAGGGCAAAGCGGCAGAGGACCCTCAGAAGTATAGCGAGGAAGTCAAGAAAAAAACTGAGGAAAAACTAAAAGATGGCGGGATTGAAGAAAATGAGTTGGAAAGTGAAACTCAGAAAGAACTACAAAAGTTAAAGGACGGTGAAATTAAAGATGCCGATCAACTAGTAGCCGCCGAAAATAAAATCAAACAGGATATTTATCAAAAAGAGGCTGCGAAAAAAATAACTGATTTAACTTCTCAGGTGAATGAAGTTTTAAAAGCAAAAAATAAGTCCCAAATAATTGAACTAAAAAAGAAATTATTAGAGTTTATTAGCAGTAGTAATATTTACTATTCTATTCATCAAAAGACGGCTGAAAATTTATTGGCACAATTGGAAAATTACTTGGCTGAGAATAATAACCAAAATAATTCTCTTAACGAACCCAAAATTTCTCCTTGAAAAATAGTTATCCCTCTTTTGTTGATTGGACCATTATTGATAGTGTTTCTAGTGCTAGCAAAAAGAATTAGTAAAAGAAAAAAACAGCGATAGTAATGAGAGAAAAATTGGCAGCCCAAGGCTTAATTAACAACTGAATTTTGAATGAATTAGCCCTTTGTCAAAAGAATTATTTTTACCATTTAAAAAGAAAAGAAATTAATTTCGCCACCACACAACTTATCAAATTTACGCGAGAAAAATTAAGTAATGAATATTTAGAATTAAGCAAAATTGCTCCTTGGGATACTGATACTAAAAACACTATACTTTTTGTTTATCAGCAACTATTAATTATGCTTCACCCGGCCATCCCTTTCATTACCGAGCATATTTACCAAGAATTAACCCACCAAAAAATATTACAAGCCGGAATTGAAATTGTTGAAATAAAAGACCAAAAACAGGAACTTTGACAAATTGATTGTTTGTTACTTCTAGTAAGTAGTATTCGTAATTTTCACCAAAAAAGCAAAGTTAGTGAATTTTATTTAGAATTAACCCCCGAATGAAAAAATAAATTGAATAATTTAGGCCTCCGGCAAAATATTTCTTTCGATTTTAATCGATATTTAGAGCCATTAACCAAAAGCCAAGTTTTCATTTTAGAAAAATCTGCAAAGATATTTTCGAATAGACAATGATATGAAAAAGCGAGACAAACCGAATTCAGTTCTTTTCTGGATTTGCCACCTTTCGGAGTTCTGTGATACCACGAAAAAATTGACAAAAAAGAGTTAGAAAAACAGTTAAGATTTTACGAAGCTGAATGCCAAAGAAGTCAGAGAATATTGACTAATGACAATTTTCAAAAAAAGGCCCCTCTGCCATTAATAGAAGAAGAGAAAAATAAATTAATTTATTACCAGGAACAAAAAAAAAAAATCCAAGCCAAGTTAAAAAGTTTTGTATAATAAAAAATAAACGCAAAATATTTTATGTGAGAAAAATAAATTATTACCCGAACAGGTAATTTTCAACATTAAAATAATTATTATGGATATCATTAGATTTGAAGTAAAAGGTAAACAATATCTCTATCTGCCAAAAAAGAAAGAGCAAATTTTTCGCATCGATTACCAGAAAAATACTAAAAAGGACGATGAAATTTTTTTTGATAAAGTTTTACAGATAGATAATGAATTCGGTCAGCCCTATTTAGCCAGTAAATTGGAGCCTAAACTGCCTGTTAGATTGCGTGGCAAAGTAGTAAAACACGGGCAAAATAAAAAAATAGTGGGTATGAAATACAAAGCCAAAAAAAGGAATGAACGAAAATGAGGATTTAGAGCCCAATATACCGAAGTAAAAATATTAGAGGTAGAAACTGGAAACATTGCTGGAAACCAAGCAGAGGGCGTTGCCGGAGAGCAAAGTAAAATATAATACTTTAAAGTCTCTGTGTGGGTAGTTTGCTAACTACCTCTTAATAGTTATTTTTAGGTAGTGGATTTTTTGTATTTTTAAATATTCTTTTGCGACCGGGTAAAAAATAGGAGTAGTTATATAAAAAGATTTCGGCATATATTAAGTATTTTTTTGAAGATAAATAAAATTATACTAATTAATGCTTAAAAAACAAAAAAAAATATTTCTGCTTTCTTTCATATTTTCCTTACATTTATTAGGAATTATAGTAGCTTTTTTTCGGACTGATATTCCTTTCCATTTTCACCTTCTTCGCTTTTTCTCTTGGTGGTCAGTTCACACTTCACTTTTAACTATTTTAGCGGCAGCCATGATATTTAGGGAAATAAAATATAATTCTCTCCCGCAGGGAGAAAGAAAAAAAACTTCTTCTTATTTCTCACAATTTATTACTTTGCTAGCCACGATGTATAATTTAATTACTTTTTTCTTTTGAGTTTATTGTTTGTTTTTTCTAAGTGTCAAATGAAAAAAATCATTATTATTAAATTGTCAGTCAGTTTCTTGACACATTATTGCTCCTCTTTTAACCATTTTCTATTTTTATTTTTATGCTCTGGTAGACAAATTAAGAGAAAAGTTAGCAAAAACTTTATTACTTGCTCCTATTAGCCCAGTTTTTTACTTTTTTTATACCTGAACTTTGGCTAAAATTAATTGAGGAGAAACGAGCAGTTTATTTTTTTATTTAAAAAAATATCCTTATTCCATTTTTGAATGGATAGCCGAAAGAAGGTGAGATTTATTTATCATTAATTTTTCAATTGCTTTTTTTATCTTTATTTCTCTTTGTTATTTAATGATTTTAACAAAGTTGGTCTATGATAAAAAAGTTAAAAAATTAGTTTAATATGGAATTATCTCAGGAAGAATTAAGAAAAAAAAAACTTCAAGAATGAGAAAAAAAGTATAACAATCCTTTTCAAATAACCAAATTTTTCCAGAATACTGACTTATCAACTATCATTAAGCAATTTTCTTCTTTTTCACAAAAAGAATTAAAAGAAAAAAGTGTTTTAGTAAGCGTTGCCGGAAGGATTTCCCGCTTTAATATTGTCGGAGGCTTAATTTTTGCTGACCTAACTACCCAAGACCAAAAAATTCAATTGAAAGTTAGTGAAAATGAAAAGAATAAAGATAAATTTAGAGATTTTTCTGATTTGCTGGATGTTGGTGATTTTATTGGAGTAAAAGGAATTGTCTGTAAAACTAATAGAGGAGAGTTAAGTGTGGAAGTAAATGAGTTTATTTTATTAAGCAAATGTTTGAGACCTATCCCTAGTTCTTACTACGGACTTAGCGATACCGAGGAAAGGTTTCGCAACCGACCTTTAGATTTTATTGTTAATAAGCAAAAGAAAGAGATTTTTTTCATTCGCCACCAAGTAATCAAAAATATTCGCCAGTTTTTAGAGAAAAAAAGTTTTATTGAAATTGAAACCCCCATTCTGGTTTCGGAGGCCTCCGGAGCCCAGGCCAAGCCTTTTATTACTCATCATAATAAATTACACCGGGATTTTTATTTGCGAATTGCTACTGAAATACCCCTCAAAAAATTGCTGGTAGGTGGCTTTGAAAAAGTTTATGAGATTGGTCGAATTTTCCGTAATGAAGGTATAGATGCCCGTCATAATCCCGAATTTACCACCATTGAAGTTTATCAGGCTTATGAAAATGCGGAACACATGATGAATCTGACCGAGGAATTGCTTCATTATTTAGTTGAAAAAGTTTTTCACCAACAAACGGAATTTGCCTTTAATTTTCACAATATTTCTCTCAAAAAGCCTTTTCGCAGACTGTCAATGATAGAGGCTATCAGAGAACATGCCAACGTAGATTTCGCCAAAATAAGCAACTTGGAAGAAGCCTGTCAACTGGCCCAAAAATATAATTTAAAATTAGAAAAATTTCAAGAAACCACTGGACATATTGTTTTGGCTTTTTTTGAAGAATATGTGGAAAAAAAATTAATTCAACCGACTTTTATTTATGATTATCCATTAGAAGTTTCTCCACTAGCCAAAAGCAAGCCGGGAGATGAAAAAATTGCTGACCGATTTGAACTTTATATTGGTGGATTAGAATTTGCCAATGGTTATAGTGAATTAAATGACCCTAGCGAGCAAAAAAGAAGGTTTGAAGAACAGAGTAAACAAAAAGAATTGGGGAATGAAGAAATTGCCAGTTTTGATAAAGAATTTTTGGAAGCCCTAGAATATGGGATGCCGCCAGCAGGGGGATTAGGGATTGGGATAGATAGATTGTTAATGTTACTTACTGGTCAAAATAGTATTAAGGAAGTGATTGCTTTTCCGCAGTTGAAGAGTAAAATTAATTAATTGAAAAAACATATGAATTTTAATAAATTATATAAACTTGACAAAAGCAAAAATTTAAAAGATTTAAAAACAGAAGAACTAAAAGGCAGAGAGGATGAGTTAGTTAGAAGTATCATTCTAAAAAATTTTTGAAGACTCTTTAATTATTTAGAGTTGTTTAATGAAGGCAAGCAATTTCCCTTGCCACATGGTCCTAAAAAAAGAATTCCCGACTCACTTGCTTTTTCCGAGAAACTGGGAAAAAGGTTATACATTTTTGAATACAAGAGCAGAATAGACAAAGGTGTGATTGACCAAACTATAAAATATCGCAATGCTCTTCAAGAGAATAATGATAATTTAAATCATTTGCGAGATTACTGGACAAAAACAGGGTGGACGACAAGAGACTTCAAACATAAGGCTAGAATTATTTGTATCGCTCCGCAGTTTGACGATGATACCAAGGAAAGAGAAAGCAAACAAGAAGAAATTTATCTAGTAGAAATGTCTGTGTATAATTTAAAAAATGAACAATTAGTGTTATTAAAAGGGAAACATGAAGAAATAATTAATTTAGAAGAAGAACAAACAATAGATAAAATTATTAATAACACGCCAGTTTTAACAAAAGAACAAGGCATTTCACTACTTTTTTCTACCAAATATAATCCTAAACTAACCGAAGAAGTTAAAAAATGAGTTTTAGAAATTGAGAAAAGACTTCAAAATGAGTTTAATTTAGTATTAAGTATAACCGCAAAAGCTCGCTATTTTACTTTTTATACCAAAAATAATGATTATGTTTTACGAATACCACTAAATCGGCAAAAATTGGTTAGAACTTTTTTTGATTTTTCTCCTACTCAACCAGAAGAAAAAAAGATTATAAGTGACTTCTCATTGAAACCTAATTGATGGTGAAGAAAAGACGACCACGAATACATTATAAGCGACGAGGCAAGTTTTAATCGTTTCTTCGACTTATTAAACGCTTCATTAAAAAGGATTCAAAAATAATTTTGAAATTGGAAAATTGTGGAACTATCCGGTCACCAAACTCAAATTCGAAAAAACCAACTATTTACTAATTCTTTTTGGTTGGTTGACTAATTAAGCAATCTTGTACCATTAAGGTTCTTTAACAAACCTTCATCTAAAAATATGAATTTTATCCGTCTTGCGAAATAAACAATAATAATAGAAAAATGTGTAAAAATTATGTTAATGACAACTGAATGAGAAAAAGAAATTAGCCTTTTGATAGAAAAATCTCTTCAAGAAGCCGCCGATTTTTCCGAAATAGAGATAGTAAAAAAAAAGTATTTAGACAAGGGCGGCCTAATTTCTCAACTTTTTCAGCAAGTAAGCCAGGAAAAGGATTTGGCAAAAAAAAAAAAATTAGGCAGTTTAATTAATAATTGAAAAAATGAACTGAGGGATAAGGTTGAAAAAGTAGAAGCGAAAATAAAAGAACATGGCTCCCAACAAGTTCCTAAAAAAGAGGAAGTGGATATTTATCTTGAAGGAGAAAAAATTCCTCTGGCTAATCTCCACCCGCTAACGCAAATTACTCAAAAAATTTATGATATTTTCTGACGTTTAGGCTATCAAATTGTCGAAAGTCCGGAAATTGCAACCGAAGAAAATAATTTCACTTTTCTAAATATGCCGCCCGGCCATCCCGCCCGGGCCATGCAGGATACTTTTTATCTTAATCACAATTTGCTTCTGCGAACACATACCACGACTATTCAACCTTGAGTAATGAAAAATATACTCAATATTTTGCCTGACAAAGCTAAAAACAGACCTGATATTTTGTTTGATAAGACTAAAAACAAAGAGGTGAAAAAAAATGCTGACACAGAGTTGAAAATCGTCAGTATTGGCAAAGTTTATCGGCGTGACGAGGACGATGCCACTCATACTCACCAGTTTACTCAAATAGATTGCTTTGCTATCGGCAAAAATTTTTCTTTCTCTCATTTGAAGGGAACTTTAGAATCAGTGGTCCAAGAATTACTGGGTAAAGAACAAACCATTCGTCTGCGTCCCTCTTATTTTCCCTTCACCGAGCCGAGCGTAGAAATAGATGCCCGTTGCTTGTTGTGCCAAGGCAAAGGCTGTGAAATATGTAAAAAAACTGGTTGAGTAGAAATTGCGGGAGCTGGATTAATTCATCCGCAAGTCTTAAAAAATGGCGGCTTTGATTCCCAAAAATTCACCGGATTTGCCTTTGCTTTCGGTTTAGAACGATTATTAATGATAAAATACGGCATTGAGGATATTCGTCATTTTTATCTGAATGACATTCGTTTTTTAAGGCAGTTTAGAGGTATAAATTAAATTTTAGTAGCATCCCCCATACGAGAATTGGTTTTTTCGAAAGCAGTAGAAACCAACAATTTATAGAGATTTTTCCGATTGGTAGCAAAATCAAGGTCAAGGTAAGGGTAGCGGATAATAACAACAAAATTACTATGGAAGTGATTTTCATTTGTTTGACAACTTTCCTGGTTTTTTTTCAAATACGATATTATCATTTCTCGCACTTGCCTTTTATAGCGATTGCGTTCAACCGCCTTTTTTAGCAATTTTTTGGGTGTACTAATACCGAATTGGCAATTATCCAAATTATTGGTTTGAAAAAAAAGCACAAAACTAGAATTGACTAATTTCTTTCCCTTGGTGATTATGGATTGGAATTGTCAATTTTTTCGCAGACGATAAGGCCTTCACAGCATTAAACTTATATATTAAAATTTAAACCCTGATAATTAGAAAAGTTGGTAACTCACAACTTACTCTAATCATTTTTATTTTTAGTCTATATTGTAATTTTATATATAATGTTGTCCGAATAGCAATTTCTATAAAAAATAATATATGATGTGGTTTTTACATAATTATAATATTTTTGATAATTTTTACAAAATGCATTATATATTGTTGCTATGAAATTAACCCGTCGCCAAAAAAGAATAATTATCATTTCGACCCTGTCATTTTTTTTGTTTCTTGCTGCATTAATTTCCATTATTGGGCTGGTAAGTAAAAAAAATTCCTCTGCACCAACTTCGGGAAAAAATGATTCCCCCACTGATAATTCCAATTTACTCCAAACCAAAGCAGAAACAATTACTTCTCTGAAATTAGATTTGAGTGCGGACAATATTAGAGAGGAAGATTTATTAACAGAATTAAAAAATAGCAATTATCTCACGGCTGACAAAACCGATTGAGAGGATTATATTAATGAAGCCACTACTTCTGAGGAATTACAAATACGAAAAGCAAATGTGGAAGCGGTTATTAGTAAACTAAAAGGGTCTCCACAAGCTCCAGGTCCACAAGCTCCAGGTCCACAAGCTCCAGGTCCACAAGCTCCAGGTCCACAAGCTCCAGGTCCACAAACACCTCCCACTAATAAATGGGAAAGGATTTTATGGGAAGTCAAAAATTTTCTGGATACTAATCCCACCACTCTCCAAGAAATTAAAGATTGAGTAAAGGCTAAAAATTATCCTGACCCGCTGGAAGGAGTGGATTTAAAAGGGGCCAGTATGGATACATTGAAAGGACTGCCCGATAGAGGTCCAGTACCAGACCTAGGCAAGGCTGTCCCGACCGGAACCGCTTATAAATATAAAAATTATGTCCTATTAAATGCAGTTGGAGATGGAAATTGCTTCTTAAACTCTTTTTCGGTTTTCTTAACTGGAAAGGATAATGATACTTCGCTTGCTTTGCCTCTAAGGGCTAAATTATGTATAGAGTTTATGGCTGACCCTGATAAATACGTAAGCGGAATTGAACAATTAAAAGAAAAACTAAACGGAAGTCATGGTTTTGCTATCAATACACGCTGATTAGAAAATGGCGATATTGCTTACATGAAAACAATTTTAAAAAGACAAATCGTTTTACTTTCCGCAAGTCCTAATTGGGAAACAAATTACCCTTATTTAAAAGATAATAATGGCATAAGTTTAGCAGAATATCCTTCTAACGATACTCCCGACCAAATTATAGAATACAATAAACTTACCTATAAAGATCATCCATTCATTATTTATAACAGTGGCGGTCACTTTCAACCTCTCATAAAAAAATAATCCACAAAACCTACTGCTTAAAATCTTGGTTCGCTATTTTCTTTATTCTTTTCAGTGTCAAAAATTGCCCCCCCCCCCCCAAGCAAATATTATGATGATAAAAAACCGCATACTGTCCGGGGGTAATGGCTCTCTGTTTCTCAGAAAATTCTACTTTTAACTCCCGAAAACCAACTGTCGGAATGATTTTGACTGCAATTTCTGGTTGCCGATAACGAAATTTAGCCGTTATTTTCTGACTATTGAGACATTTTTTTAATTTTTCCTCTCTAACCAGCCAATTAATTCTTTTTACTATGCACCAATTACTATATAGTCACTTATTATCTCAGCCATCTGCCACATAAATTATATTTTTTTCACTGCTTTTTCCTACTACATAATGAGGTTTTTTTTGTCCCGGTAGTCTCAAATTACGCCGCTGTCCGATAGTAAAATAAGAAGCGCCATAATGTTGGCCCATGACCTCTTGGCTGTCAACATTGATTATTCTACCCTCTTTTTTGGGAAAATAATTAGCCAAAAAACTGGCAAATTTTCGCTCTCCAATAAAACAAATACCAGTAGAATCCTTTTTTTGAGCGTTAATTAACCCCAATTTTTCGGCCGTTTGCCGCACTTCTTTTTTGGTTAAGTCGGACAGAGGGAAAATTATTTTGCTTAACAAATTACGATCAATTTGACATAGAAAATAGGTTTGGTCTTTATTTTCGTCTTGTGGCTTACTTAAGTAATGTTCTCCGTTTTCCTGAACTATTTTTGCATAATGACCGGTGGCAATGAAATCGGCCGCAAAAATTTTTTTCACATATTCCACAAAACAATGAAATTTAATTGTGCTGTTACATAAAATATCGGGATTAGGAGTCAAACCTTTTTCTAAATCGTTGAGGAAATTAGCAAACACTCTGTCTCAATATTCGCGAATAAAATCTACTTTGTGAAGTGGAATTCCTAATTGATAAGCAATGGTTTGAGCGTCATTTCAATCTTGTGTTTGGGAACAAATAGAGGTGGTTTGCCCTCCCAGATAATCATCCCAATTTTGCATAAAAATTGCTGTTACTTCATAATTTCCTTTTTTCAAAAGATAAGCCGCCACAGCCGAGTCTACTCCACCACTTAATCCAATTACTACTTTTTTTTTAGCGGAGAACATATTACTAAAATTTTAATGAAAGAATAAGATTTTCAGATTAAAATTGCTTATTCTAAATGAGTGAAATGGTTTTCTTAAAAAAATGAAAAATAGATGATAATATTTTTTCGTAAACCAAACAATAAACAATGATATGAAAAATGTAAGCGATATTTTGCCTGATAAAGAAACGAACTTTTACTTAATAACTATCGCTTATGACGGCAGTGATTTTGCTGGTTGAGCCACTCAACCAAACAAATTAACCGTCCAGAGCTGTATTGAAACAATTTTAAGTCGGGTTTTTAAAAAAAAAATTAATATTTTAGCCGCTAGCCGTACTGATAAAGGGGTTCATGCTCGCGAGCAAAAATTCACTTTACGGATTAATTTAGATTTTTCCCCAAAAAAGTTATTCAATTTATTAAAAAAAGTTCTCAGCAAATACGTTTTAGTCAAAAAAGTCCAGAAGGTAGATAATAATTTTCATCCTATTCGTAATGTTTTCAGTAAAGAATACCGCTATTTTATTAATACTAGCAAACATAATATTTGGCAAAAAAAATATCGATGGGAGTATAATTTGCCAATTATCACCAAAAAATTAAATGATATTCTCCGAATTTTCCAGGGCCGACACAATTTTTTTAATTATTCTTATTGTCGTTGACCGGAGCGAAATCAAGTAAAAACAGTGCGAGAAATTACCGCCCTAAAATGTTGAAAAAAGCAGACTGTTGTTATTATCAGCATTAAGGCAAAAAATTTTCTCCGTTATCAGATTAGGGCAATAATTGGAGAGGCTATTAATTGTTATGAGGGAAAGCAAAAAATTACTGATTTACAAAAAAAATTAACTAACTGCGATAAAAAAAATTACAAATATAGAAATCTTGCTCCTGGTGGGGGCTTATATTTATGAAAAATAGACATGGATATTTTAAGAGTGAAATAATCAAAGATTATACATTTTAATTAGACAATGATATGAAAAATAGATAGAAAAAATGTCTTAATTTTTCTTAAATATCTAAAAAGATAAGAAAAGGTTAGGAAAATATCGTTTAATCTTATAGAGGTTCATATAAATGCTTTTCTAACAATTTTACTTTCGCCCCGTTTACTGAATCAAAATCTAAACAATTATCTCAATTTAGTTGCCGTTGATTAACATTAAAAATCTCTAAAATCTTTTTGCTGGTTTCGGGAGCCAGCGGGTCAAGCAAAAAAGCCGCAATTTTTATTCCATTGGTTAAATAATTAAGGGTTAAATTTAAAAGTAAAATATCACCTTTTTTTGCTAATTCTCAAGGAGCCAAATCAGAAATTAATTTATTACTTTCATTAAGTAAACTTTGGATTTGAGAAAATGTCTCGGTAAGTTCATATTGATTAATTTTTTCTTGAAATTCTGACACTACCAAATGACATTTTTTTTGGTATTCCTCTAACTTTTTTCTTTCAGTTTTTGCTTTTGGCTGCTCTTTTTTAAAATTACCAAAACCGGTCTCTTTTTTTCAACTATAATTATTTTCCGGAACAATTCCTCCATTATACAAATGGATCATTTTATTTACCCGTGAGACTAAATTACTTAAATTATTCACAAAAAAGTCTTGGTAAAAATTTCTCAATAAATCCTCCGTGAAAACTCCATCTTGTAAAAAATTAATTTTGGCTATAAAGTAGACTCTTAATAAATCACGTGGATATTTTTTTAACAATTGCAGTGGGTCGATAACATTGCCTTTGCTCTTGCTTCCTTTTCGACCTAACTGGTCTAATATTCAACCATGAGCCAGTATTTTATCAGGCAACTGGGCGGATAAAAGTCTTAAAATAATCGGTCAATAAATCCCATGAAAACGAGCAATATCCTTACCGACTATTTGCACTATTTCCCAAGAATTTTTATCCTTTTTGGCACCGGTTAATTTTTCCAGCACATATTCCGCACCCCTATCGGGTTTTTGGCTATCAAGTTCTCATATTTCTGGAACAGAAAAAAACTTAACTTCTCCTATTGATTCCTTTTCCTGAACCTTGATTTCTAACGAACCAGAATATTTTCGGGTTTGATAAAAATAGCCTTTTCATCAGATATTATTAACATAAAAGGTTTCTTCGCCAATCTTTTCCAAATCCGTAATTGTTAAGTTAGTTTCTTCTAATATTTCTCTTTTGGCCGCAGTTTCGGGCGTTTCGCCTGGTTCTATTTTTCCACCAGGGAACGTTCACTTGTCGCATTTTTTGCTGTAAACTAAGAGATGTTGTTTTTTTGGGTTAGCAATGGCTACACAAGAAAATTCCTTGACTTTACTATTACTGGGTGCTTTAGGGAAAAAAAAATATTCCCCAATCGGAGAATTAAGATAATTAAGCAAAGCCTCAAACCAGACATAAATGACCATTTTTTCATTGCCGGGAACTGGAATGCCTCACTTGATATCACTACGGGTAATACACAAATCTCGCCCTTCATTTTTGAGAAAATTTTCGAATAATTCTTTTTTAATATTAGGTGGCAAAAGAAAATCAGGGTTTTTTTGATAATATTCTATCAATTGTTGGTAATAATTACTAACTCGCAAAAAATAAGCCGGTTCTTTAATTTTTCGCAATTCGGACTGACAATTAGGAGTCGGACATAAATTGTTGTTAATAACTTTACTATCGCTCACGTAATCCTCACAGGCAACGCAATATCTTCCTTGATATTCCCCTAAATAAATATCGCCTTCATTTAATAATTCAGTAAAAATTTTTTGGACTTTTTTTTTATGGGTGGAAGCAGAAGTGCGATAAAAAATGTGTTCAGAAATGCCTAATTCTTTTCACAATTGTTGAAAAAGTAAAACATTTCGGTCTACTAATTGTTGAGGGCTAATGCCTAATGAAGCCGCTTTTTTTTCAATTTTCTCACCGTGGTCATCACTGCCGGTTTGGAAGTAAACCTGATAACCTTGACTTTTTTTGTAACGGGCAATAATATCAGCAATAATCATAGTATAAGCATGTCCTAAATGTAAACGATCATTGGGGTAAAAAATAGGAGTGGTGATATAGAAATATTTCGGCATGTTAAATATAAATAATTTTTAGAGAATAACTAAAAGTTATTAGCACAACTTAGTAAATAAATTAAGTTTTAAAAATAAAATTAATAATCCCTAACAATTGGGTCTTGTCGCTTCTCTAGCATTAAAATATTTAATATGAATATCATTCAAAGAACACTTGCCTGAAATCAATTCAAGTTTCAATTACCAATGATTATTTGTGCGGTATTTGTCATTGTCAATCAAAGAAAAATTATTGGGAACACTCTCAAAAGGTGGTGAAATTGAGGTTTTAGCCATTGATCGCCTGAGAGAATGAATTTTTTGATAATGGGAGTGGTTGGAGCCGTGATTTTTGGCATTTCTTTTTTGGCTAACCGAACCTGAAAACAAGAGATAGTTGTCAAACAACAGCAAGAGGTGATAAACAAAATGTTGGAAGAAAAAGTAATCACCTCCGAGCAATTGGAAAAAGAAAAAAAAGAAGCCGCAGAGAGAGAGAGAGAGAGAGAGACAACCGCAGAGAGTAAAAAAAGAAATTTCTATTGAACTCCTTAATTTTGTTTTCATTGTCATTCTGGCTCCGATTATCGAGGAGTGTGTTTTTCGTTATCTAATTTTTGAGATATTTAACAAAAATAACCCGCTTGCTTACATTTTTTCTGGTTTAAGTTTTATTTTTATTCATTGACTTGGTCCTATTGTGGCTGTGGGAGGCGGGCTGCTAAATCTTACTACTATCAAATTTTTACTTCTTTCCTACTTGCCAGTAACCATTTTTCTTATCTGGATGTATCGAAAAAGTAAGTGAAATATCACCTATCCTATTTATTTTCATTTTCTTTGAAATTTAGCCGCCTTTTGCTTCTTTGGATTCAGAATTATTGCCTAAAATGCTCCCACTTCTATAAGTGGTGGGTAGTTCGCTGCAAAAGACAATTATCAATTCTCAAAAGGAACTTCAATTTGATTTAATAACTGTTCTTGCTCTGAAAAATTCGTCAGATAATTATCAAGCACTTGCTCTTTTTGTTGACCATTCTTTTTTAATCCTTTTATAAATCTTTCCCTGTTTTCAATTAAATATTCACTATTATAGTTGAATTGTATAATTTTATTTCCTTTAATCCCAAATTTTTTTTCTAGATAGTCGCGATAACTTATTCCTTTTTCAATATTGTTTTCAATCAATTTGTCTTCAATAAATAATAAATCCTCTGCATTATAATACCCAATTTTTTCAAATATCTCCTCAAAATCTTCAATTAAGGAGATGCAAAAATCGCTTATAGCAAAAGAATTGCGTTTTTTGATGTCTTTCTGCGCTTCATTTATATCAATAGCAATCAAAAAAACGTCAGAATTAGAGTAAATTGGGAAAATGGATGGATTTCCATCTTCGTCTAAAATATACATTTTAGAAGCATCCTTTAGACCCAAATTATCTGCAATTATTTTTCGTAAGCACTCTTGTTCTATTTCATTATCACTTCTAATGTGATAAAAGGATAGTTCTGCATCATCATAGTCTATCGCAAGATATCTTTTATCAATTAAAATTCATTTTTTATACTCAGATTGGTTATTCGCTTTTATAAGTTCTTCAACAGCTTCTTGATTTTTTTGTTTGATAAAAGTTTCTATTTCTTCACTTTTTCTAAGTTCGCACTGTCCCGGAATGGCCCCTCGAATAAAAATTCCGTCCTCATTATTAAGCACGCTTTTAATAACTTCTTCACAAAATCATTTTCTATCTAGACAAAGTCATTGGCCTCCATTAAGGAAACTAACTCCCTCTCTAAAATAAACTTTAGATATTCTATCCAATCCATCCAGTTTTTTTGGACTCTTTCCGCGTCAAGCACACATTTTATTATTCTCGTTCTCTACCAATTCTCTAATAAACATTAATTGTTCACCATTCAGTTTTCGAGCAATAAAATTGGTTTTGTTTTCATCATCTTTATTTATAATCTTATTTCCTTTTTGTGTCTCTCCAACGTTAATAATTATTCATGGTTCGTTTGGTAAGTTATTGTCGTATTTGTCAATGATTTCTTGGCGGACAGTTTCATCCCTTACTCACCTTATGATTTTCTCTAATTTTTCCTTATTGAATTCTTCATTTTCTTTATCGTTAAATACAGCATAATAAAAATCTACTGCATCTTTGATCTTATTTTGCAATTTTGCCTCTTTCAAATCTTTTTCTGCTATACTATTAAGCCAGGAAGGCCTGTTTTCTTTTTTCATTAGTTTGCGAAAGAGGGCACGTAAGACCCTGTCTCCATATTCATCTTCATATCAGTAGTCTCTTATTTTTTTGTCATTAGCAAAATTTTCGACAACATCCGGATTCAGATTAGCAAGTAATCCACCAGTTCTGTTTATTTGGTGAATAAGTTCAGGAGTACTGAATTTGTAAATTTCTAGATAATAGGAAAATAGAAAAGGGGTTTTTGGATTAACTGGATAAATTGGTAAATTGACTGCTCCGCTAGTTGGTATACCTAATTCGTCTAGATCACTATGTATAATTAATGTTTCTTCTTCTGGCATATGTAATATTTTAGCAATTATTTATGTTGAAAATTAGTCACTTTACTTCTGGCATTTAGAACTATTGGTTAAAATATTTTTTATAATGAATAAAGTCGAAAATTCTTTTCCTGTTGAAAAAAAGCAAGATCACCGAATGATTGCTAAAGAATTAGATTTATATATCCTAGACGAGAAGGCCGGACAAGGCTTGCCAATTTTGTTACCTAATTGAGTGATAATTCGTAACCAAATTCAAGAATTTTTACGAAAAAAACAGCAAGGGTTCGGTTTTCAAGAAGCAATTACCCCCATTTTAGGAAGCGAATATTTATACAAAACCAGCGGGCATTTGGATCATTATCAAGAATATATGTTTCCAGAAATCAGCCGCAATAATGAGACTTTTTATTTACGACCGATGACTTGCCCTCATCACTGTCTAATTTACCAGCAAAAGCCTCGTTCTTACCGAGACTTACCATTCCGTCTATGCGAAAATTCTCTCCTGTTTCGTTATGAAGCGTCGGGAGCCTTGAAAGGACTGGAACGACCCCGTTGATTTGAATTAGCCGACCACCATATTTTTGTAGCACCCGAGCAGTTAAAAGAGGAGTTGAAAAAAAATTATCATTACATTGCGGACATTTTGACAGCCTTCAACTTTCCCATTTCGCGTCTCGTTTGTGCTCTCCATGACCCCAACAATTCCGAAAAATATCATTCGGATAAAGAATTATGAAAATATTCCGAGGACATTTTAATTAATGCTTTAAATGAGTTGAAATTAAGTTATGTTATTCTCCGAGGTGAAGCGGCTTTTTATGGTCCAAAATTAGACTTGGAAATCACGGCCGCGGACGGCAAAAATATTACTATTTCCACTATCCAGTTAGATTTCATTCTACCCCAAAAGTTCGGTTTAAATTATATCGACTCTGAACAAAAATTAAAAATTCCAGCCACTATTCACCAATCTCCCATTGGCTCTTATCAAAGATTTATTGCTTTATTATTAGAGAAAACTGACGGCAAATTACCTTTTTGATTGGCCCCCTGTCAAGTGGCTATTTTACCTTTTAATGAAGAAAAAGAAATTAAAGATTATTGTGAAAAATTGGCAGGAGAATTAAAGGAACTTGGTTTACGAGTAAAAATATTCACCAAAAAAAAATTAAAAGACCGTATTCGGCAAATGTATCAAAAAAAAATACCTTACTATTTGGTAATTGGCAATGAGGAAATGGAGGCAATTAAAAAAGACAAAAACGAGTCCGAACAGAAAACGGAATTAAAATTAATGTCTACTTACGAGAAAGGAAAAATAGAAAAATTAACCCCAAAAGAATTGTTTGATAAATTAAAACACCAACTACAACTCACTAAATACGAAGCAAACTAGGCTCCTTTTCTTTTCCTCTTTTTCGCTTTTTTAAATACTACTAGACTAGTTTTATGATTATCACTCCAATTATTCCTATAATGGTAA